ACCACTTATTGTTATCTCACATATATATTCTTATTCTTATTCTTATTCTTATTAAGTGTTCTTGCATAGCAAGACCACTTAATGTTATCTCACATATATATTATTATTATTAAGTGTTCTTGCATAGCAAGACCACTTATTGTTATCTCACATATATATTATTCTTATTATAGCCAAATTTGCCACCCTAACTCCTCCCACAGTTTTTACACTACATAGACAAAAAGTTACCAAAACGCGCAGATTGTTCTCGATCGGATTGCTATTACTTTGTGGAACGTTTCGCCGAATGGTTCACGGAATATCGTCGTTCTTGTGTCGCAATTTGTCCCATAGAAATGAATGGCAAAGCTAGAGTGGGAGCTGGCAAAATCTGAAAAATCAGGACATGATTTCTAAACTGCCACCACTCCCTCATTTTCAGGCCCACCTACACAAATATTATATCAAAACGTTCAGCTATCCCTGCTGCCACTAGAAATGTCCATGGCTAAGCCATAGTCCTGATAGATTTCACAATATGACCATTTGTTTGCAACTCACGCCTTCCATTGACATTCATTGAAACTTCACTCAAGCCAGCTCAAACTTGAAGGGCAATTTCTAAACTGCGACTGTGCCTTCATTTTTAATACGTCAGAGACATACTATGCATCAAAATGTAGGTCTGGGTCTTGTGATTCTCACAATATAAAGCTCTTCACTGTAGGAGTTATAGTTTTTAAGATACGACCGTTTGAAGATGGCAACCGCTAAAATACTCTGACCTGTGTCAAGCTGCAGCAGCAAGTGATGTCATAGACAGGGCCTTTTGAACACCTGCTAATGTTTTTATAAATGTATGGTTTAATGTAACTGTGCAACAACGTTGCAATTAACTCCTTAAGGACACATGATGGAAATATTCCGTCATGATTCCCTTTTATTCCAGAAGTTGTGTCCTTAAGGGGTTAAATGTGCTATATAAATGATAACAGTTACTCCGCCCACTCCAGTTGTAGACTACTGGTGGAGGCAAGAACACTTCACACAATTTCCCCAGAAATTGTAGTTTTCTAGTTATTAAGTGTTCTTGCAAGAACACTTATTGTTATCTCACATATATATTATTCTTATTATAGCCAAATTTGCCACCCTAACTCCTCCCACAGTTTTTACACTACATAGACCAAAATTTACCAAAACGTGCAGATTGTTCCCGATCGGATTGCTATTACTTTGTGGAACGTTTCGCCGAATGGTTCACGGAATATCGTCGTTCTTGTGGCGAAATTTGTCCCATAGGAATGAATGGCAAAGCTAGAGTGGGAGCTGGCAAAAGCTGAAAAATCAGGACATGATTTCTAAACTGCCACCACTCCCTTATTTTCAGGCCCACCTACACAAATCTTATATCAAAACGTTCAGCTATCCCTGCTGCCACTAAACATGTCAACGGCTAAGCCATAGTCCTGATAGTTTTCACAATATAATAATTTGTTTGCAACTAACGCCGTCCATTGACATTCATTGAAACTTCACTCTACAAAGCTCAAATTTGAAGTGCAATTTCTAAACTGCGACTGTGCCTTCAATTGTAATACTTCAGAGACATACTATGCATCAAAATGTAGGTCTGGGTCTTGTTATTCTCACAATATAAAGTTCTTCGCTTAAAATACGACCGTTTGAAGGTGGCAACCGCAAAAATACTCTGACCTGTGCCAGGCTGCAGCAGCAAGTGATGTCATAGACAGGGCCTTTTATACACCTGCTAATGTTTTTATAAATGTATGGTTTAATGTAACTGTGCAACATCGTTGCAATTAAATGTGCTATATAAATAATAACAGTTACTCCGCCCACTACAGTTGTAGACTACTGGTGGAAGCAAGAACACTTCACACAATTTCCCCAGAAATATATAATTATAAATAATATATAAGTAGTACTAAGTTAATAATATAGAATATTCATGGATATAACATGAATGAAGAAATGTCATATTATTACTAACATTAGTGTAATATGTGTAATAGACATATATGTGTAATCTTCACTACAGTTTCACACAAGAAAACCAGACACCAAATGAAAGAGAACACTAAGTATTTAATTTTACTTTCTAAAAAAACATATATATTATTATTCTTATTATTGCCAAATTTGCCACCCTAACTCCTCCCACAGTTTTTACACTACATAGACAAAAATTTACCAAAACGTGCAGATTGTTCCTGATCGGATTGCTATTACTTTGTGGAACGTTTCGCTGAATGGTTCACGGAATATCGTCGTTCTTGTGGCGAAATATGTCCCATAGGAATGAATGGCAAAGCTAGAATGGGAGCTGGCAAAAGCTGAAAAATCAGGACATGATTTCTAAACTGCCACCACTCCCTTATTTTCAGGCCCACCTACACAAATCTTATATCAAAACCTTCAGCTATCCATGCTGCCACTAAACATGTCAACGGCTAAGCCATAGTCCTGATAGTTTTCACAATATAATAATTTGTTTGCAACTAACGCCGTCCATTGACATTCATTGAAACTTCACTCTACAAAGCTCAAATTTGAAGTGCAATTTCTAAACTGCGACTGTGCCTTCAATTGTAATACTTCAGAGACATACTATGCATCAAAATGTAGGTCTGGGTCTTGTTATTCTCACAATATAAAGTTCTTCGCTTAAAATACGACCGTTTGAAGGTGGCAACCGCAAAAATACTCTGACCTGTGCCAGGCTGCAGCAGCAAGTGATGTCATAGACAGGGCCTTTTATACACCTGCTAATGTTTTTATAAATGTATGGTTTAATGTAACTGTGCAACATCGTTGCAATTAAATGTGCTATATAAATAATAACAGTTACTCCGCCCACTACAGTTGTAGACTACTGGTGGAAGCAAGAACACTTCACACAATTTCCCCAGAAATATATAATTATAAATAATATATAAGTAGTACTAAGTTAATAATATAGAATATTCATGGATATAACATGAATGAAGAAATGTCATATTATTACTAACATTAGTGTAATATGTGTAATAGACATATATGTGTAATCTTCACTACAGTTTCACACAAGAAAACCAGACACCAAATGAAAGAGAACACTAAGTATTTAATTTTACTTTCTAAAAAAACAAAAAACTAAAGGAAGGGTGAAATTAAGGTTAGGAGGTGTCAATTCTAATTTTACGAACAAATCTGATAATGAAAATGACTTAAAACGCATCACGTAATTCAGTTAACCCATTAAACAAAAAGGTAAATTGACCCCCTGACAAGAATTTTCGGTGATGTAATTGCACCATCTACTGACCAAAATCTAGATGATAGTCTGTAGGGAAGACACACCTACAGGTCCCTATTGGTCCTATCGACTAATGACGTGCAGAGAATTTTTCCCTTGGGACACACACATGACTCTTGGACTGTATTCGAGACTCTCACTCACAAACACTCTCTTGGACACTCTGACATCTGGAGCCAAAGCTGGACACACCTAACTCTTTATGCTTTTCCACCTAACACAACTTCAGAACTCTTCTATTTCCATACAATTCTCTATACATCATACTTGCATTCAAAATTCCTGGCACAAATCTACACATCTGATAGAAAATCTACAACCTTACTGGTAATTATGCTGGTTTTATTTAATGGTTTTGATAAAAGGCAGAATATACTTGGATAAAAGCTGGTGATTCCAAACATTAAGGAGTCATGGTTCGTTAATAATCGATAGAATTCAGAATTCCATTCCTGCAGGTGGACCAATGAACTCTATATTACTTTTAACTTTAAAAATAGAATACCAGGCAATTATCCAAATATATTAGCTTATGTAATTTAGAAATAGTGAATCTTAATTAAGAAAGTTAAAAATCTGCAAACGTAAAATCTGGTTAGGATTATTCTTATTGGATGGTCATAGGAATGGTGAATGATCTGGTATGAGAATTATTGCATTTGTAAAATCGCAATATAAGGATTGCCAATGAGGATTGTAGCTAGCAGTGAAAGAGTTAATTCAGTGTGATTTGACTGTCAGCCAAAGTTTTTATTGCTTTATGCTGTGCTGCTGTGAAATGCTGTGTTCTCTGTTAATTGTAAATATTGTTGACAACTGTTGCATATAACTGTTGCTTTTAGCTGCCTATATTGTGTTAAACCACTGCCATATTGTATACTTATGTTATACCTAACTATTCCCTGATTATTGTCATGCATGTTACAAATATTATTTTATTATTATTGTCACAATAAATTATATTTTTACAATTAATTTATGATTAATGTGTGAAGTAAAAATCTTCTAATGAAAACTTACTCTAGGATCTAAGAGAATTTAAATAATGGGTAATTCTCAGCTTTAAATAATGAATCGGGGAAACAGTGCCAAGATATCAATTTTTTATGTAATACAAATTATTAAATTATTTTTGATCATTTTTATGAAATTATTATTTTAATATTTATCACCCCATAAATATCATCACAAGCAGCACCCCACAAGGAGGGGAATAAAAACAGCAAGACATAAAAAAAAAAATTGAAAAGTTTTAAATAAAAACAGCAAGGTGAAAAATATAACTAAAAAAGGGACAAGTTTTAAATAAAAACAGCAAAGAAATAAAATATATATAAGAAAAAGGGAAAAAGATTTTAAATTAGAACAGCAAAGCGAAAAATATAACTTAAAAAAGGGACAAAGTTATAAATAAAATCAGAAAAGATTAAAAATATCTATAAAAAAAGTAAACATAAATATATAAATAAAAAAATTAAACCTGCTTTTTCACTTAGGATTAAGCAATACCAACCACAGTCCACCAGTTCTCCGAGAAACTCTTGTTGTTTCAACTCCTACTTAAGAGACTACTTTAACCCCTTAAGGACACATGACATGTGTGACATGTCTTGATTCCCTTTTATTCCAGACGTTTGGTCCTTAAGGGGTTAAATAGCCTACTTTCAAGCAAACTCCAGTGAGCAGAAATGCAGCCAAGATGCAGGCTTTTAGTGTAGCTTTAGGAAAGGTTATTAAACCCTATAATAGACCCATGGTGTGTAACATACATGCTGATATGCATTCAAATGTCTGAGATTGTAAATTGGCATCCTAATACATGTCTACATGTATTAGCATTAGCATCACATCAGCAGGTATCCTTAATAAGAAAGTGGATGAGAAAGAATAGCAGAGAACATAACCTTGATTTAGAGAAGAAAGGGAGAAAACTGTATATGATCTGCCATGTTGTTTTAGGCCAAAGCACATTCACTGAGGTTGGTCTCCAAGCATGCACCAAATTCTTGGATGTCTTTCCACAGTGAATCACCATTGGCACCGGAATATGGATGACTTACAAAATTAGGTTAAAGTACAGGTAATACAGATTCATTGTAGACAAGCAGATATCCGCTTCAATGTGCAGTCTGTTTAACTGCTCTTCGGGGAAAGCTGTAGTTTAACATTCAAATATGTTTTAGTAATAAATATTTTTGGATTACGTAATAAAAGCTGAATAATGAAATGTCTTTGATAATATTTTAAGACACTAGTATATCTTATTTATATAAAGCATATGCTGTTTTAGCACTGTTTGTGTTTTCTTACTCCCTCGTGACAATTCCTTTTTAATTCCTGACAATTTTTACTTTAGTAAATAGCCCTGTCATTGGTGATCACTGTCAGTGAGGTGGATGTGAGTCATGTCTATACGTAAGCATTGAATCATGAAAACCTGTTAGTATTTTATACAAGCAAAAATCTACCTGTCTGTTGCTTTTTATCGAGTTTAATTGCAGATTTTTGCAAAAATGTTAATATCTGTACTGTTTTTGTGGATAACTATTGTATACTTCTCTGTATATCACTGGAGGAATTGAGGATTGTTATTTGTCACACCCTTTAACTACCTGGTTTTAAATCAAAGTCTCTTAATGTATTTAATTTTTATTACAGGGTGGTGTGTTGGGTATTAAGATTGGTTGGATGTGTGATCTTGATAAGTCCTGGGACTTATGTCTTCCAAGTTACAGCTTTACCAGACTTGATGGTGTATCAGCCAAGAGCAATGTTTCACCGGGATACAATTTCAGGTAAGAAAATCTTTGAGAGGGTTTTATATATCGGGGTACACTTATATGAGTAGAAAAGAGACATCCATAGTTAAAGGGACACTATAGTCATCAGAACAACTACAGCTTAATGTTCTTTGTTCTGTTCAATATATTCATTCCCTTCAGGCTTTTTGCAGAGAAAGGGCAGTGTTTATATTACAGCCTAGGGCTGGTAAAAACAACCTTTGGCACCCCGGATGTTTTGGACTACACCTCCCATGATGCTTTGCCAGCATTATAGGTGTAAAGGCATTATGTGAAATGTTGTCCAAAACATCTGGAGTGTAGAAGGTTGCCTATCCCTGGCCTAGGGATACCTATACTGGCCACTTCTCAGATGGCTACTAGAGGTGCTTCCTGGGGCTATATTCAGTGTCTCCACCCTCTGCATGCACTGAACTTTCCTCAGATTCAATGCATCTATATGAGGAGGTGCTGGTTGGCCAGGGTGGGCTTTGACTCTGCCCGTCGAGCTGACCTCCTTGGCTGACATCATCAGAATTGAAATGCTCAGCCAATCCAATGCCTACCTGTGATTGGCTCAGATCACCTCTTCTGATGATATCAGCCAAGTATGCAGATCAGGGGCAGAACCAGTAGCAGCAGACTGGAATAAAGGTAATATTTTACTATACTTAGAGGGAAAGGTAGGGCAGTGGGGTCAGGTAGTGTTTTTAACACAATAGGGTCAGGGATACATGTTTGTGTTCCTGACCCCATAGTGTTCCTTTAACATGTATATAATATATTGTATATAATATATGATGAAATATTTATATCACTTGTTTCCATGCTGTTAATTGTTATTTGTGGTAGAATAGTATTCAGATGAGTGTGTGCTGCACAAGTCATATAGCAGCGTATTATCTTTAAATATGTATTTATTGTTCATTTGCATTTCAGGTTTGCAAGGTATTTCAAGAGTGCCAATGGTTCCGAGTTCCGGACTCTAGTGAAAGCTTATGGAATCAGAGTGGATGTTTTGGTTTACGGTAATGTAAGTTCAAAGAAAATTATTAACTGTTCAATCAAACATCTGCAGATATCAAATAATCTTGAAAGCCTAAAGGATTGCTGATGTAACCTTGGTTATCCAAAGTGTATTTTACCATCTGCAGTGCAACCGGGAGCTATAATTTCTAACATTTAAACTTGCATACCAAATGCTGACATAAAGCGGACAAAATTCTGCCTTCTGGAGCCACTACACATCCAATATGTGTTCACACAGCATTGCAACTCATCATGATTTTTTTCCGCATTTATCTAGGCTCCTTCAGCAACAGCTTGCTGTTGTACAGATTTTGGATCAAAAATATACTGGGGATTTAATCAACAAACACTGAATTGTAGCGAATTGCAACTCAAATTGCAAGGTTTAGGCAGTTTTAGAACTTAAAAAGGATTCAACAAAGCCATAGTCTGTTGGTAGGCAACTTACAGCATTACAGATGTTGCAGACTACATCTCCCTTGATGCTCTTACAGCCATAATGCTGGCAAAGCATCAGAGGATATGTAGTCCACAACATCTGGAGTGCCGAAGGTTGCCTACCTCTGCTTATGGCCATATACCTGCCAGTCTTCCTAGCCCACTTTCTGTGGTGGTGGTGGTCATGACAAGAGAGCTGGCTACACAGTACAAGCGGTTGGTCCTCTCATGAAATGACCTGCTTCCTTAAGTAAGACTATGCATAGAGTGCTGCTGAAGCACTCTGTTCATGGTCCTATTGCCTGGTCATTTCCTGCATCTTGAAGCAGCTTGACAAAGATCCCATTGAGGATTGAAACGTTGCTATATTTGTTGTGTTTTTCAATAAATCTGCTGCTTTATGAAGACCTTGAGTGTCTGGAGTACTTTATTTTCTCTTATCCTTTTTTTTTTTTTTTTTTTTAGACTGTTGGCACAAGTGAGTTACAACTTATCTATCTGAGTCTAATTCTTGCAATTTTGATTTGATTTACTATATTATACGGTGTTTGGTGATTATTTGAGGAGACACATCAGAGTGACAAACAAAAACAAAAGAGCTTAACAAACATCTATAAAAAGACAGAAATACAGTGGAAAGAGACACAGGGAATCACCTCAAACATTTACAGACAAATACAGATGTTGACTTTATGTGGTCATTGTGGAGTCCTGACTCCTATAAAAATAGTCACATTAAACTATGTAAGCTTCCTTGTCTTATCACTAGAGCGGACACCTGGATGTTCGGGTCCGGGGGGGTGGCCGAACTTTGAAAAAAAGTCCGGGGTCAGGCTCAAACTTGACCCCGAACCTCATTGAAGTCAATGGGGACCCGAACTTTTGGCCACAAAAATGACTCTAAAAAACTCCTGGATAGGAGAAATCACTTAAAAATAACATAAAATAAGCAGCCGCTTAGTAGATAACTCCCTAATTCACACAGTCTTTCCCTAAATTGTTCTTTCAGCCACATTTACTAATACTAAGTAAAGATTACTTAGTATTAGTAAATTCAGCCCCTACTCGCTATACCGCGAGTAGGTGCGTGTCTAGTAAACAGTGAGCAGCCAGTGGCTCACTGTAAAAAAAAAAAACCCAAAAAAACAACCTATTACTCCTAGCCCTGTGCGATGGGTGGGGACCCTAAATAAGAATGTGGAGGGGGGGGACCTACTATGCACCCCTGAGCAGTGGATGGGGGCCATAAATAAAAATTTTGGGGGGACCTAATGTTCTCCCCCCCGGCCCCCACCCCTGAGCGGTGGGAGGGGGCCATAAATAAAAATTGGGAGGGACCTAATGTCCTTCCCCCGGCCCCCACCCCTGCGCGGCGGGTGGGGGCCCTAAATAACAATAAGGGGGGAAACCTAAGGTCCTCCCCCTGCCCCCCACCCCTGTGCCGGCGGGTGGGGACCCTAAATAACAAAGAGGGGGACCTAATGTCCTCCCCCCCGACCCCACCCCTGAGCAGTGGGTGGGGACCATAAATAAAAACTCCCCCCCAGGTAACTCTGGGTCCCCAAACCCCTAGTCACCCTCTTCCCCCCAAACAAAATTACCCCTACCTACCCCCTCATCCTAAAAATAATGAGGGGGGACCCTTGTCTAAATACCTGTAAAAAAAAAAACAGACTTACCATTTGATGTCTTCTTTCTTCTAAAATCTTATTTCTTCATTCCCAAAAAAGGCTAAATAAAAATCCAGAATAACCGACGCACTTTAAAAAAAAAAAAAAAATCCTTCTTCACCCATGGAGGGCTCCACGCAGACTGAGCAAGTGACCCAGCCTCTATAGAAGCTGGTCACTTAGTATTAGTAAATTATGCCCCTACTTGCTATAACGCGAGTAGGGGCGTGTCTAGTAAACAGTGAGCAGCCTGTGGCTGCTCACTGTGTAAAAAACAAAAAAACTATTATTTAGGGCCCCCACCCGCTGGCACAGGGGTGGGGGCCAGGGGGGAGGACCTTAGGTTTCCTCCCTTATTGTTATTTAGGGCCCCCACCCGCCACGCACCGCCGGGGGGGAGGACATTAGGTCCCCCCAATTTTTATTTATTATAAAGCCTTGCCCCGCCCTGCAATTAGGCTCAGAGCACTCTGATTGGTAGGTTTAAGCTCTGACAGGTAAATGAAGAGAATGACAGAGTCTCTATATTTACCTGTCACAGCACTCTGATTGGTTGACTTGAAATCCACCAATCAGAGTGCTCTGTGTCATTTTACTCAGTGTGGGAAAGTTCTTTGGAATTTTACCACGCTGTGTAAAACCACACAGAGCACTCTGGCTGGTTACTTAATTTTTATTTATGGCCCCCACTCACCGCTCAGGGGTGGGGGCCGGTTGAGAGGACATTTGGGCCCCCACCCGCCGTGTGGGAAAGACATGAGGTCCCCCCCAATTTTTATTTATGACCCCCACTCACCGCTCAGGGGTGGGGGCTGGGGGGGAGGACAATAGGTCCCCCCCTTATTGTTATTCAGGGCCTCAACCCGCACAGGGGTGTGGGCTGGGGGGAGGACAGTAGCCCCCCCTTATTGGTATTTAGGGCCCCCACCCACCGCTCAGGGGTGGGGGCCGGGGGGAGCAATAGGTCCCCCTTTCGTTTAAAAGCCCCCACTCACGCGTCGTGGGTGGGGGCTCAGGATGGGGCAGTATTTTTGTTTTTTAAACAGTGAGCAGCCACAGGCTGCTCACTGTTTACTAGACACGCCCCTACTCGCGTTATAGCAAGTAGGGGCATAATTTACTAATACTAAGTGACCAGCTTCTATAGAGGCTGGGTCACTTGCTGCACTGGCCAATCACAGCCATGCCATTAGATGGCTTCTAAGGGTACATGAGTCAGATGCTTGTTGATTGGCTGCCCTGCAGCCTTTCAAAACGCGTCATTAAATCGCCAAAATCCGAACTCCAACCCGAACATACAGTTATATGTCCATGTTCGGGTCCGGGGTCTATAAAACGTAATGTTCGGTAAAAACCAAAACTTTTTCAGTTCGGGTTCGCTCAACTCTACTTATCACATCAGAACAACTATGCTTTCACAAACTGACCCAGATATTACATGTGAATGTGCTCTTCAGAATGTTATATTAATATTATTATTATTAATTTTATAGTGGAATGTTCCTGAAACTTACATTTACAAACTGGACTTGTTCCAAAGCATATTTATTTGTGTATCTCTTTCATCCTAAGATTATTTCCCTTTCTGTGTTGCTGGTTGCAGACAGTTAACTCATCTATGATGTATTTTGTATTTCTACTTTAGGCTGGGAAGTTTAACATCATCCCAACTCTTATCAATACTGTGGCAGCATTTACATCTGTGGGTGTGGTGAGTTATTTTGTCACCTCTGTCTGAAATATAATGTGGAGTTTTGCTGAATGCACATTGTAAACAAGAGCACTGTTACATGCTGGTGAATTATTAAAGCAAACAAATGATGTAGAATTACAGAGTCTCTGAAATCTGGCGTGAGTGCAGGATGTTGAGCAAATTATTCAAATTTTTTTGTAAGATTTCATTTCTGCTTATCCCATATATGGTAAATCTACTATTCTTGTATTGAAGAAGGAAAAAAAAAAGATTCCAGATGTAGCTGGACAGCAAATTTGTTACCAAAAAGGCATGATAGAAAGAGTAATTATAAAAGTAGAGCAATCTACTTTACATAGGTTTCCAGAATGACTGCTCCAATTTTAGAACTTTGCCCCTGAATTATTCTTTATGGGAAATCCTCTATATTTAAATATGTTTATAAATATTAGAGTTGTGCAGCATTCAGCTTCAGGACAACTCCTACAAAACCAATGATCAGGTGATCATGCGCACATTGAAATGTATATTACATAGTTACATGGTAGTCTAGGTTGGAAAAATACTTAAAGTCCATCAAGTTAAACCTTTAAAACCCCAAAGGAAGGCATTTCCAATTATGCCACAAAAAGGGGAAACAATACCTCTAGACTCCATAATGACAATCAGATTGGTCCAACAAATCAACAACCTGCTCATCTACATATTAATTATATCCTTGAATATTCTGGTTTTGCAAAAAACATCTAAGCCTTTAAAAAAAAATAAAAATATCCATAATCTGATAAGACAGCCTATTTGGGTTGAGATTCCCACATTCTTATTGTTCTGGCAGGGTTTCTTAGCTGTTTTAAACAGCAACCCTTACTTTTTCAGTGTCTGAGTTTTCAGCTGAGATTAACGATCAGCTCCTTCAGTATGTTGCCACGGTTTACTCACCTGATAGTAGTAAACAGCCCTGCTGCTAATCAGGCAGCCTATTTAACCCCTTAACGACGCTGGACGGAAATTTCCGTCAATTACTAAAGTTAACACCAGATCGCCGCAATCGCGGCGATCGTGGGGTTAACACTGTTGCTGGGTACCTCGGTGTTTGAGGAAGCCCAGCAACAGCCAGTAGCGCTGTCCCAGCACATGTGATCGCTGTGACAGCCAGTCACAGCGATCACAGTGCTGCTGGGAATTCTGATCCTCCTCCCTCCACCTCTGTGTGTGTTTAGAAGTGGAGAGTGACGGATCGTTTGAAACTTTGTGTCCCTTGACAGACACACAGTGTTTAAAAGTTTAAAACATTTTTTTACCTCCTTTACCTGTGAAAATTAACAAGGGTTTAACCCTTTGACCACTGGCAGCAGTGATCACAATACTGATCACAGTACTTTACTGAGATCAGAGGTTTTTTTTTAACCCTCAGGGATTAACTTTATTTTCTTTTTAACCCTCAGGGGTTAAATATATTTAATTTTTTATTTTTTTTTACTATTATTTTCAGTTAATTAGTTAGCTGGGGTGAATTGAAGCTAGGGGGAATTGAGGAATCTAGCGTTAGTGTAGCTAGGAAGCTGAAAAGTTTTAGAAAGTTATTAAAAGTTTGTAAAAGTTATTAAAAGTTTATAAAAGTATAAAAAAAAGTGAAAAAAGGAAAAAAGAGGAAAAAAAAGTAGTTTATTTTAAGTCAAAGCATTTCTGCTTTGCTAGGTGTAAGCACGGTGATCTGATTCCTGTTTTTACCCACAGGGGTTCATTTTTTTAAAACTTTTTAGAAGTTTTAGAAAGTTTTTAAGAGTTTTAAAAAAGTTTTAAAAAAGTATTAAAAAAAGTTCAGAAAACAAACAAAAAAGTATAAAAAAAGTTAAAAAAACAAAACAAAAAAATACGTTATTTAGTTAAAGTTAATTTTAAGCTTTCACCATGCTTAGAAGGTTTAGTGCCGAGGAGGCATATAATATATTAGCAGCCGACTCAGAGGCAACCGACACTGCCTCAGAGAGTGCAGAGGGTGACTATGTGCCAGACACAGATGAAGAAAGTGACGATACCCCTGGCACTGCTCCTGGCGCTGATATCTGGGTGCCCCCTAACAATTTTGTCCCCTACATCCCTCTGTTCACTGCGACTCCTGGTATTCAGGGAGACGTGACCAGCTATAACTCCCAGGATTTTATGGAGCTGTTCCTTGGGGATGATTTTTTAGGGCAGATAGTTGCACAAACAAATATTTATGCAGCGCATTATCTGGCACAAAATGCAACAAGTCACCTTGCCACAAAAGGGAGCTGGTACCCCACCAGTGTGCCAGAGTTAAAACAGTTCTGGGCACTAACCATGCTAATGGGAATTATATAAAAGCCCAGCATCCGAATGTACTGGTCCAAAAACCCAGTATGCAATACTCCCATTTTCTCTCAGACCATGAGTAGGCCCAGATAGGAAACAGTACTGCGTTTTCTGCACTTCAATGATAACTCGAAGTGCCACCCCAAAGATCATCCGCAGTATGACAAACTCTATAAAATCCGCCCCCTAATTAACCATTTTAATAAAGAATTTGGCATAATTTATACTCCCCAAAAGAATATATGTATTGACGAGTCCCTAATGAAATACAAGGGTAGACTGGGGTTCAAGCAATACATCCCAGCCAAAAGATCCCGGTATGGCATCAAGCTATACAAGTTATGTGAAAGTAGCAGTGGGTATGTTTATACCTTCAGAATATATGAAGGTAAAGATAGCCACCGGGATCCCCCAAGTTGCACTGATGTAGTTGGGACTAGCGGAAAAATAGTTTGGGATCTAATGAACCCGCTACTGAACAAGGGGTACCACCTCTACCTTGATATTACATAGTTACATAGTTACATAGCTGAAAAGAGACTTGCGTCCATCAAGTTCAGCCTTCCTCAGAAATGTTGTTGCTGTTGATCCAAAAGAAGGCAAAAAACCTGGTCTGAAGCACTTCCAATTTTGCCACAAACTAGGAAAAAATTCCTTCTTGACCCCAAAATAGCAGTCAGATGTCTCCTTGGATCAATCAGCTATTACCCACTAATTAGAAATTATATCCCTGTATGTTATGTTTTTGTAAGTATTTATCCAATTTCAGTTTAAACATCTGTATGGACTCTGACAAAACCACCTCTTCAGGCAGAGAATTCCATATCCTTATTGTTCTTACTGTAAAAAAACCTTTTCTTTGCCTTAGATGAAATCTCCTTTCTTCCAGCCTAAATGTGTGACCTCGTGTCCTATGTATAACCCTGTTTATGAATAGATTTCCAGATAAAGGTTTGTACTGGCCCCGAATATATTTGTATAAAGTTATCATATCCCCTCTCAGGCGCCGTTTTTCCAAACTAAACAGATTTAATTTTTGTAACCTTTCTTCATAACTAAAATGCTCCATTCCTTTTATCAATTTTGTAGCTCGTCTCTGGACCCTCTCCAGTGCCATGATATCCTTCTTTAGAACAGGCGCCCAAAATTGCACAGCATATTCAAGGTGTGGTCTTACCAGCGATTTATAAAGAGGCAAAATTATATTTTCATCCCGAGAATTTATGCCCCTATTTATACATGACAAAATCTTACTGGCCTTAGCAACTGCAGATTGACATTGCATATTGCTGCCTAATTTGTTGTCTATAACAATGCCCAAATCCTTCTCGTGTGTGGTTATCCCTAATTCACTACCATTTAGTGTGTAAGTTGCTTGTGCATTCTTAACCCCGAAGTGCATAACTTTGCATTTTTCTATGTTAAATTTCATCTGCCATTTTAGTGCCCAGTCCCCCAATCTATCCAAATCTCTCTGCAACAAAGCAATATCCTGCTCACATTTTATTACTTTACAAAGTTTTGTGTCATCTGCAAACACTGATACATGGCTTTCAATGCCTATTTCAAGATCATTTATAAATATGTTAAATAGAAGTGGTCCCAAAACAGAACCCTGAGGGACACCACTTACCACTTTTGTCCAGCCTGAAAATTTACCATTAATGACAACTCGTTGTACTCTGTCCTTAAGCCAATGTTCTACCCAAGAACAGGAATATTCATCTAGACCAATTTCTTTTAGTTTGAAGACTAACCTATTGTGAGGAACCGTATCAAATGCCTTGGCAAAGTCCAAGTAGATCACATCCACTGCAACACCCTGATCTATACTTCTACTTACTTCTTCGTAGAATGCAATTAGGTTAGTTTGACATGACCTATGTTTCATAAAACCATGCTGATTATTGCTAATAACAAAGTTCTTCCCAATGAATTCCTGAATATTATCCCTTAATAGCCCTTCAAATATTTTCCCAGTTACTGAAGTTAAGCTCACAGGTCTATAATTTCCAGGCAAGGATTTTGAACCCTTTTTAAATATAGGAACAACATCTGCCTTCCTCCAATCCTCCGGTACAACACCTGAAACAAAAGAATCTTGAAAAATTAAATACAGAGGTTCACTTATTTCCCCACTTAGCTCCTTAAGTACTCGTGGGTGAATACAGTCAGGCCCCGGAGCTTTATTTACATTAATTTTCTTTAATAGCTGTAGCACCTTGTCTCGAGTTATCCAGTCACAAGTTATTTGCAAGTTTTTTGCAGCAAACATTTGCATATCTCTTGCCATAGGATCCTCATTAATATATACTGAAGAAAAATAGTTATTTAAAATTTCTGCTTTTTCCTGGTCTTCATTAGCTAATAAACCCAACTCTGTTTCAAGTGTACCTACACTTTCATTTTTTGTTTTTTTAGAATTGATGTACTTGAAAAAAAATTTGGGGTTGGTTTTGCATTCTTTAGCTATCAATTTCTCATTTTCTAGTTTAGCCACTTTAATTGCCTTTTTGCAAGTGTTATTGGCTTCCTTATATCTTAAATAGGATGCCTTTGATTTGTCTGATTTAAATGCTTTAAATGCCCTTTTCTTATTTTTAATCTCTTGTTTTACTTCTCTACTAAGCCACATTGGTTTTAATTTGTTTCTTTTATATTTATTACCCAATGGTACATACTGAGAAATGTACCTTTCTAATATATGTTTGAATAGTTTCCATTTATCCTCAGTGTTTTTATCACTAAGGAGTTTATGCCAGTCGATATGTTGTAGAGCTGCCCTAATCTTATTGAAATTGGCTTTTTTTAAATTATATGTTTTAGTATACCCCACCTGCTTTTGCTTTTTTGAGTTTATTTCAAAATTTACCATATTGTGATCACTATTTCCCAAATGCTCCCCTACTTGAATGTTGGTTAAAATATCAACATTGTTTGTTATGACAAGATCCAGACAAGCATCCTGTCTAGTTGGTGCTTGTACCAGTTGTGACATAAAGGTGTCATTTAACACATTCAAAAACCTGATTCCCCTTGCTGAAGTACTAGTCCCTCTTTCCCAATTTATGTCTGGATAATTAAAATCTCCAATAATTAACGTGTTACCTCGATTTGCAGCTTTCTCAATTTGCTCTAACAGCTGTTCTTCCTCATTAATATTTACATTAGGTGGTTTATAACATATCCCAACCAATAATTGATTTCCCTTTGTTTTCCCCAAGCAGATATCTACCCATAAAGCCTCCACCTTTTCCTCGTCACACTCCACATGCCTAAGATTTGACTTTAACTCACGGTTGACATATAAACATACCCCACCACCCTTCTTGTTTTTCCTATCCTTCCTAAATAACGTATACCCATTTAAATTAACTGCCCAGTCATGTGTCTCATCCCACCATGTTTCTGTTATGCCTATTATATCATATTGTTTAGTGTATGCTATTGCCTCTAGTTCCCCCATTTTGTTATATAGGCTCCTTGCATTAGTAAGCATACATTTAATATTATCATGAGTCTTTTGTACTTTTTGTGAATTATCAATATTACATACCTCCTCTGTTCTGAGTTTTCCCCTCCCCCCATCTCCACCCCCTTTGTTCTGAGCTAAAGCCCATCTCTTTTCCATCATATCTCCATTTTCTAGATTGCTTTGACCCTCCCCCCCTACCACTAGTTTAAAATCTCCTCCAACCTTCTAGCCATCCTATCCCCCAGCACAGCAGACCCTCTTCCGTTTAGGTGCAATTCATCATGACTATACAGGTTGTACCCAAGCGCAAAATCGGCCCAGTGCTCTAAAAACCCAAAACCCTCTTTCCTGCACCAAGACTTTAGCCACGCATTGACCTCTCTAATCTCCTGCTGCCTTTCTGCTGTAGCGCGCGGCACAGGTAATATTTCTGAAAAAATTACCTTGCAGGTCCTTTTCTTAAGCTTACTTCCTAGTTCCCTGAACTCATTCTTTAGGACCTTCCATTTTCCTCTGACTTTGTCATTGGTACCAATATGGACCATGACAGCTGGGTCATCTCCAGCCCCTCCCAATAATCCCTCCACTCTGTCGGCAACATGCCGGACCCGAGCACCCGGGAGACAGCAAACTGTCCGATAATTATTACAATAGCATACCCCTCCAAAAAATGCTACATTGTTTTGAGACTGTGGTCTGTGGCACTATCCGCAAGACACGCACTGGCTTCCCCAAGGCTCTGGCAGAGAAAAAAATTAAAAAGGGGGAAATGGCTGCTCTATGCCAGGACGAACTGCTGGCTCTGAAATACAGAGACATAAAGGAGGTGTTCATACTGACTACCATGCACAGTGAACACACACGCAGGGTCGCATTTCGTGGCAGACAGGAAACAAGACGGCTGCCTGTCTGCATTAAGCAATACAATAAACACATGGGGGGAGTTGACCTGTCTGATCAACTGCTGCAGCCATATCTGATAATGAGAAAGACCAGGGCCTGGTATAAGAAAGTGGGCATTTATTTAATGCAAATGGCTACTCACAATGCATTCATCCTTTTCAAAAAGGCAAATCCTCAGCTGAAATGTACTTTTCTTACATTTCAGTTTCAGCTCATTTCTGTGCTGCTCACTGAGTGCCACAGTGGGGAGCCATCAGCAAGGCCTAGCAGCAGAGATATTCAGACAGGTCACTTCTGCTTTCGGATACCACCAACCCCCAAAAAAAGACCCCCCAGAAAAGGTGCAGGCTGTGTTACCAGAGAGGCATTCGAACGGAGACCAGTTTCTACTGCCCTGATTGTCCCTCTCAGCCTGGCCTTTGTATTGGGAACTGTTTTAAATTATTTCATACTCAGAGCCAATAAATTCTCAATACAATTAATATTCTTGTTGTAGTTCTTCTGTTATTTAACCACTGACTATATATATATATATATATATATATATATATATATATATATATTTTTTTTTTTTACCTTTTATTTAGTTAATTGGGGTGGATGATAGTTCCTGGGAAATTGGGGAGTTTAGTGCGTATGCTAGGGGTAGAAATACAAATTAAAAAAAACAACAAAAAAATAAAATAACATTGTTTTGTTAAAGTTCTTGTGTAAAAAGTTTAAAATGCTTAGGAAGTACAGTTAGAGAATTCTGACAGCGGATTCAGAGGTGACAGACAGTGCCTCAGAGTTTGACCCAAAATGGGACATGGACCCAGCATGCAAATTCAAAGTTTGAAACAAACCTGAAATGGCCGAGTCTCAAATTTGCCCCTTCAACATCCACATATACCTGAGAAAGGTACACACAGGGGTATTGCTGTACTCAGACGACATAGCTGAGTGACATATGAAGCGTTATACTGCCGTAGCACACCTAAGGATTGTAAACTATGCAGTAAAATCTCAAAGTATGTGTCAAAAAGGCAGAGAAAATGCTTACTACTACTAGACTTGGTACTCACTAGCGAAAAAATGATCCCACCCTAAGGTTCAAAATGGGCCTTTTGAAATACCCTGGGGTGTCTACTTTAAAAAATGGTAGGCCTTTGTGGGGAAAGTTTGAATAAGCAACCTGCTATTAGAACCCAAAATGAGTCATAAACCTATAAAATTCTGTAATAACTGAAATGGTCAGGTCTCCTATATGGCAGTGTAGCGTCAGGAAATACGACTAAAGGCATACATTGGGGGTATCGTTTTACTCACAGGAGATAGCTCAGCATAATTTAGGTTGTTTGATCATATTGGAACATATCAAATATACAAAATGCCCAGCACAAATGTAACGCATAAGTTAAAAATGCGAAAAATATTTTTTTACCACAAACTTTGACATATCATGGTGAAAAAATGGCCCAAATTGAAACATAAGCCCTGCAAATCCGTCTCTCAAAATTCTACTCTAAAAACTGAAATGGTCAGGTCTCCTTTATGGCACTGTAGCGTCACCAAATAGTGTCAAAGACATACATTGGGGGTATTGTTTTACTCAGAAGACTTAGCTGAGCATAATTAGGGGTGTTTGATCATAGTGGAACATATCAAATATACAAAATGCCCAGCACAAATGTAATGCTTAAGGAAAAAATGTGAAAATATTTTTTTACCACAAACTTTGACATATAATGGCGAAAAAATGGTGACATGTTAAGGCACAATATATGCCATATGAGACACCCTGGAGTGTCTACTTTCACAAATGGTAGGCCTTTTTGCGGTTTTTGAAACTGTCAAACTGCTATAATGGCCCAAACTGAAACATAAGCCCTGCAAATCCGTCTCTCAAAATTCTACTCTAAAAACTGAAATGGTCATGTCTCCTTTATGGCACTGTAGCGTCACCAAATAGTGTCAAAGACATACATTGGGGGTATTGTTTTACTCAGAAGACTTAGCTGAGCATAATTAGAGGTGTTTGATCATAGTGGAATATATCAAATATACAAAATGCCCAGCACAAATGTAATGCTTAAGGAAAAAATTAAATGGGGGTATTGTTGTACTCAGCAGATGTTGCTGAACACAAAATTGGATTTTGACCAGGAATAGCACACAGCAGCTTTACAAAATACACATTTAAAAAACCTTGTTACATGTGTGTATTTCAAAAAACAGAAAAAACACAATTTTACTACAATATGTAGCAGAGATTGGTGGGAAAAAGGCTATGTAAAAAGTGTCAAAATACCCTTAAATAAATAGCCTGTGATGTCTTCTTTATTTAAATATATACTTTTGTGTAGCAATTTTGTTTTCTGTGACAGCTGTCAAACTTACAAGTCAAACATACCAACTTCTAAATTTTTTTTCACATTTAAATTTTATATTACTCCTTGTATTTTGTGACCTGTAACTTTTAAAATAAGCTGAAATCCTTTACATATTATGCACTTTGAAAAACAAGAAACCTAAATGAATTTATTTTGAATTACTTTTCCTAAGCTGTGCGGGATTAAAGCACCCTGGACCATAAACCGGTCTAGCCTGGAATACATATTTTTAGAGACAGAATAATACGTAAAATCTATTTCATTCTCATGCATCAGTCTCCAGGAGTCGTAAAAGCCACATTCAATCAGGTATCTGGAGCATTTATACTCTAATCTGTCACTGTCCCCTCTATGCTGCTGATCACGTTCTTCCCTAGCATTATCTAAATCTCCATCCATGACAAAATTCGTGTCTCCACACATTACCAAGCTGCCTCTCACATTCTCATTCACTAAGTCCATCAATTTACTAAAAAACTGCAACTGACCGGTGTTTGGAAAATACATGTTCACAATAGTATATTCAATAATATTGAGTGATCCTATCCATATTAAATACCTCCCGTCATCATCTGTTATTACTTTGTTTGTCAAACATGCTACATTCCTGTGAAAGAAAATCGATGTACCTCTAGACTTGGATTTATAAGTGCAATGGTATTGGACTGGGAAAAGCTTTGACATAATCTTATGGTCTTTATCATCTTTAAAATGCGTTTCCTGGATACAGATTACATCTGATTTGTTAGATTTTGCTTCTTTGAATAATAATCGTCTCTTGTGGACGGTGTTCAGGCCTCTCACATTAAATAGGTATATATGGAATCTCTCACACACTCGTGAATTTATAACAATGATTCTAAAATCCACATACAGTGATATAGAAATTTAAAGTGATTATGGTGGAATAAACAAATGAAGAGTAACTTCCCTTAGCAATATAGGATATGCCCGAAGATTTCCTCCTATCTTCAATTCAACAAGTATATGGTATAGGGCTATTCCAAGCTATGTAGCCATGTATTTCTTATTCCCATAGCTTGGAATAGCCCTATACCATATACTCTCACATTAAATGACATATATTTTAAAACCATGGTTTATGGAACAGTAATACCTGGTAAAGGGTAAAAGAACATTCAATTCTGTGAGAGTCCAAGCAACCGCCCACCAAGAGAGAAACATGCAGGTCCAACAATACTGTCAAAACAAACTCAAACTGTGTACAGGAATAGTGAATAAACAGATTTTTGCAAGTTGCTGATGCCACGTAGTATGCATTTTTGTATGAAGCATTTCAGTGGTTCGTGGTCTGGAAACGTTTCTACTAAACTTTAAAGAATGGATGGACAAAAAATATAGAAAAATAAAATTAAAAAAGGGGAACAAAAAACTTGGGTATATACCCCTATCAGGGGTGAAACAAAAACAGTTAAAGAGGGCCATGAGGGAGAACAAAAAAAGGTTTTCCATCTCAGGGTGTTAGGCCCAGGTTGGAGGGAGAGAAGGCTTCTGGGTACAAGGGGAACCAATATAAATAGTAAAAACAAAACAAAGAGCAACTTTTTAAGTATGACATTTGAAAGGACAAAAGGCACAAAACAATAAAAAATTATAATAAAATTAAATAAATATGAAATTATATAAAAAAACAATTTTGATTGTATAAATTTAGAAAGTTTTAAGTAATCGAATCGATTTCTAAAATAAACCGTAGAGGCACATATCAAATAACCGTTGGTGTGCAAACTCAAAAGTCTGTCATACAAAGGAGAAACAAGTCAAGATTCAAAGTAATCCCGATAAATCTCCGGACTGGAGTAGGACTCGATAGTCTGTTTCAGAGATAACGTTTTCTCAGAACCATAAAAATCAATAAAGAGAAAAAAATCATTAAAATAAAAGTCTAAAAATAAAATAAATAAAATTCCTTTGTGAAGATAGGGAAAACATCGCAACTTACGACCGTGGAAAACGAAGACTGTAGCTCTTTGAGCTGGGATCTCAGGAAACGTCAGATTTGCTTCATTGCTGGCCTGCATAGGAGTAGATGGCGAGAGTCTATTAGGCGAAACCTGACGTCTATTCATGGAATTGATGAGTTCCATTCCTTCCTCAGGCTACGTGATTATGAAATTCCGACCATATATACGGAAAAGGACTTTAACCGGGAATCCCCATCTATATCTTATCCCTCTTCGTCTTAGCTCCGCAGTGAAAAGTTGAAATTCCCTGCGTCGCCTCATTGTTTGAGCAGAGAAGTCTTGGAAGACCTTCATGCCGCTGTAATCTCCCGTGAGGCCTGTCACGCGTACTGCACTAAGAAATTCCTCTTTAATGTGGTAGTAGTGGAATCTCACTATCACATATTTTGGTGCAGCCGCAGGTGCATTGTTGGATTTGGGAAGTCTATGGATGCGGTCCAGTAGTAAATCCGTGTTTTTAGCGATTGGTAGAGCTGACTTCACCATTGTCTGGAAATAGCTTTGTAATTCCAGAGAATCGATACTATCAGGGATCCCCCTGATTCTTAGGTTATTACACCTACTTCTATCCTCAGCGTCCGCTAACTTTTCCGCTTGTTGGTGCACTTGCTTTTGGAGCTCTTTTACGGTTTCAACCAGATAAAGGTGAGATTGCTCTTGAGAGTGCAATCTATTCTCTATTATTTCCGTTCGCTGATTAATGCCCTCCATGGCTATACAATGCGTCAAAGTCTTTTTTAAAGTCGTTTTTCAAATCAACTGTCAAATCTTTGATGAGTTGAATTATCATGCCAGCTGACGGTGGCAGATCTTCTGCCAATTCAGGTAGCATATTGGGATTGTAAGTCGCTGCTTTAAATGTGGTAGTAGCCATATTGGATGTGGCAGTGGCCATCTTGGGAGTGGAATATACAATATCTGGGCTGGCAGCCATCTTTGTTGTGGCATCATGACATATTCTCTGTGGTAGTGCAGAGAAAGTACTTATTACAGTCTCACTAAAATGACCAGTCTTTTTTAATCCCTGGGTATACCAGTCTCCCCAAAAAAGACAGAAGGTCCTGACAGGGTAATACATTTTTTGGGTATTCAACTAAACTCGGTTAACATGCAGTCCTGTCTCCCTGATGATAAGATTGAGCACACCCTATCAAGCATTGAGCTATACTTATAGCTAGGTTCTTGTAACATCAAAGAACTACAATTTCTGCTTGACTCGCTCAATTTTGCCATGAGGATCATCCCACAAGGTATATCCTTCATGTCCCATCTTCCTTCAGACGACTACACGCATCACGTTAGACTTACACACTATACATACCAGAACCAGTTAAAGAGATACGGCAGGCATTTCGTGATTTGTCTTAGTATTTTGATGTAAGTAATTTTTGTATGGTACACTTCTTTTTGGCCTCTTTTACAGGCCTACTGCATTTTTGGTTCCGGCACACCACAACCGACTGGTGTTTTTAACTATGTTATTTTATAGGAATTATATGTTATCTTAACTATATTGCCCTGACCACAAATTTAAGGCTGGGCCTGTAGTTGTGGGAGGGGCTTGGGTCCCCTTTATAAGGGCCTCCTATCCTCTCTCACTTACCATTATTGGTCTGGTGAGTTGCCCCTCCCACCACTCCCTCTTTTTACATCATCATCTAAGGTGGGCACTCTTTATTCCAGGCCTACTGCATTGTCCGTTCCGACACATCACCACCGACTGGTGTTATTAACTATGTTATTTTATATGAATTATATGTTATCTTAACTATTACAGCAATATTGTCCTGACCACAGGGGCTTGGTTTCCCTTCTTAAGGATTCCATACCTCTCCCCATTGTTGTTTTTAGTCTGGCGATTTGCATACCGTGATTTCCAGTGAAGCAAACCGCCATTTAGTTACCCTCCTCGTGGAAACTACCCGATTCCACACCGTTTTCCTGATCCTGATTTCGCATCTCTTTAGTGGTTCTAGGTCTCTCCGGCAAGTGTACCTTCCTCCAGGTCCTTGTATACTTCCTGGGAAACCGTCAAAACAGTAAGTTGTAGAGCCGACTCACTGTGGAGCAGACTATTGTATATCGTAGAGCCGACAATCACATCTCAGTCACTGGCGCACAGCCTCATCACAGATGGGCTCTATGGTTTTAATATTTGCCTTATTCAAATGCATCCTTTTGTTTATTCCTTTTGTTTTAATTCATACGAATCCTAGTTGGTTGCCGAACTTTCGGCTACCTTCCAAAAATGTTTTATTCTGCATGTCTACTAGGACAAGATTCACGACTAGTTTGCTTTTGGGAGCATGCACACGTGCGCATCCTGTTCGGTTCCAGTACTCACAAATAATTAGCTTAAGGTGTTTATACACTTAGAGTTTTCACAAAATGTTTAGTTGTGTGAGGGGCAAATATGGCCGTATAAGAAGCGTATGAAGAGTAGCATAGTATAGGGAGAGATAAGTCAGTTGAGGTGTGCCGGAACCGACGTCGCGGTAGGCCTGTAATAAAAGAGGACCCACCCATGAGGTGTAATGAAAAGTATAGATAGAGGGAGTGGAGGGTGGGGAAATGCAAATCGCTAAAAGCACGAACGGGATGGAGGAAGGTGAGTAGGGGGTTTAAATAGGGTAACATGCCCTCCCACAACTGCAGACCAAGCCTTTACGTTTGTCTGAGGGGCAAATATGGCTGTATAGGAAGCGTATGAAGAGTGGCATAGTATAGGGAGAGATAAGTCGGTTGAGGTGTGCCAGAACCGACGTCGCGGTAGGCCTATAATAAAAGAGGGCAAAAATAGATACATGTCAGAACGTAGAACAATCAACAACTGATAAGAAAGAACTTGCATATCCATATGCCTGTCGAAAAACTTGTAGGGTACGTGGTACGTATGGGGAATATGCTGAGAGCTTCCATTGACCTAGAAAAAGAAAAAATACGGACCAATATGTAACTAGTTTGAAGCCGTGGATGACACCCTATTCAAGAGGGGTGACCCAAATAGTTGGATGGCTTGAACCTAGCCTCAAGATCAATGAACTAAAGAATAGCATGTATTTCAATGTTCAGAGGACTGGTCCATGTATTGATATCTGTGGTTGTGAGGCTTATTAGAAAGAGAGAGTAAATAGGTGCTTGGAACTTTAACTGACATTCTTAATTGTGCGAGGGGAAGTAAGGTATATTAAACGTGTTGACCATCTTGGGTAGACTAAGTGTGAGGTAGAGAAAGTAAACAATAGTCTCCATGAGTAGGTGAGACTTCCTGAGACAATGCTGCAAGACGTGGTAGTTATGGTAAATACCTAAGGAACCGTAAAACCGGGTATATAGCGGCTTTAACTACTAGGTTGGTGCCTGGTTCGTAAGGTCTGATAGTGATTGAAATAATTGGATGCTGATGGGAAATCTGTAAGATTTGAAATTTTTCTGGGAACCTGAATGCCTTGAGTATGGTAATAATCTGTTATGAGGACATGAAGCTGCGTATGATTTGGTAAACCTGTACAACATATGAAGTTGTAAACTGGATAGGTAGAGTTAATGGTATTATGGGATAATGCAAGTTAGAATTGGCAAAAGAAGCGAAAACCAATCACAGACAACATAGCAAAATAGACAGTAACATTATACACGAAAAGGAGCCTCAAAGGAGAAGAAGGCCCTAACACATGTACCGCGAGTGTTAGTAAAAAGCGCCAGATGTGAAAGATGACGACCACGAACTAACAAGGCTGGTAGTCCGCGGGCAGAACCCCCCCAAAAAAACGCAGGGCACGGCAGCGGCTACGGGAGAGTCCATAGGCAACGCAATGTGGAATGCCCGGAGGAGCCACAGGAGAGATCGTATGAAAAAAAGGTGCAGGAAGTCCGGCTGGAACCCAGCCAGAGCGGCAGACACCAATTACCCAAACTGTTAACTGAACCGCCCTATAGACGACAGTAGTGAAAAAAACAAGGGGTGAACAACGGAGAAGTAAGAATGAACTCGGGGGTCCCTACAGCAACAGCGTTATCTGTGGAGGCAGACAATGATACAGATATTTCAGCTGTCTGATAGGCTGCCGGGGAGAAAAAAAGTAGACTTGCGAGAACCACAGTGAAGGGAGGAAGAGACCAGGATACGAAAAGGAGGTGGGGGTAGCCAAATCTCCACAGCGTGATGAGTACCAGACCTAGCCGGAGAGCCGGGTGGAAAATTACTACGCCACCGCCTGGTAGCGGTGTCATGCTAGAAAAGAAACAAATAAATAGTGCATAAGCGATCCAATGTGTGTGTGCTGGCATCCTAGCTAATGCCAAAAAGGCAAAACAATTAAAAACTAGGATAGGTGACAGATGAGGCCCTGCTATCTAGCAGGGCCTCATCTGTCACCTATCCTAGTTTTTAATTGTTTTGCCTTTTTGGCATTAGCTAGGATGCCAGCACACACACATTGGATCGCTGTGCAGCGTGAGAGGCTCTATCTATGCCTTGGCGCAAGGGGATAACGTGGCCACTGAATGTTGTGGCGGGGTGTTGGCCTCTCGGTGACAGTTAAACATAAGATAGAATGGGAGTGACAAGTGAGGCCCTCTCTATGCCACAATGCGAGGCGGCTAACTATGATTTGGTCCGAGAGGCGTAGTACCTCCGAGTATGAGGATGGGTGTTGGCCTCGCGGGACCACTAACCTAAGGCGAAGAAGCCAGGGCAAGTACAACTAGTGGACACCTAGGACCTTGACAGACAGCCACAGCTAACTAAGAGGGGAGGGAAGGTAGTGTGAGAGAGGACCAATTTGATGAACGTGTATCGAAAAAACCTTGAGGGTGAAACGAGGAAGTACCGTAAGGCCAACCGTAACTGGAGTGCAGAGTAAGCACGTCAGAGTCCAGGTGGTCAGGCCATACAGAGCATGCCCGGAAATAGGAAATAGGAGTCGTGTTTGTGCAAAGCCCACGGGGCTCACAAGAACCAATGTGTGTGTGTGTGCTGGCATACTAGCTAAAGCCAAATGCGAAACAATTAAGACTAGGTTTGGTGACAGGTGAGGCCCTGCTAGATGCCAAGCGGCATGAGAGGCTCTATCTATGTGTTGGTGCGAGGGGATAATGTGGCCTCTGAACATTGTGGAGGGGTGTCAGCCTCTCGGTGACAGTTAAACACAAGATAGAATGGGAGTGACAGGTGAGGTCCTCCCTATGCCACAATGTGAGGCGACTAACTACAGGGAGTGCAGAATTATTAGGCAAGTTGTATTTTTGAGGATTAATTTTATTATTGAACAACAACCATGTTCTCAATGAACCCAAAAAACTCATTAATATCAAAGCTGAATATTTTTGGAAGTAGTTTTTAGTTTGTTTTTAGTTTTAGCTATGTTAGGGGCAGGGCTGGACTGGGAAAAAAATTAGGCCCGGGCATTTTTCAATCAGAGCGGCCCCCTAAGAAGGGGGCGGGGCCAGAGAGTGTGTGTTTTGTCATCACTAATGACAACATGCCCCCTCTCAAAGTGAGCATGTTGGTTCAATGCCCAGAGCCCTGCTGAAGAGCTCTGGCATTAGAAAAAGGCCCTGAATTTGTTCTGCGCAGTGCAAGCAAATTTAATAACATACTTGCGCTGTGTTTGCTTTTAAATTGTCTCTGGTGTCTGCACAAGTGGGATGCCAGAGGACAAAAGGGCCAGGAAAGTGCATGGTGCATATGTTTGGAGCCTGCTTGTGGGATTGTGTGTGTGTAGAGTGTGGTGTGGTATTGTGTAAATAGGTCAATTTAATTTGTGTTTGTGGTGTAATATGTGTGGCTAGGGGCTGTAGAGAATGTGTGTATAGGGGGCATAGTTTTATAGGGGATGCAGCGAGTATGTGCATACGGGCTGAAGTGTGTGTGTATAGGTGACGTAGTGTGTGTAGGGGTTGCAGAGAGGGTGTGTTTAGAGAATGTTGTATGTGTTTGCTGACAAGGAATGTAGTGTGTGTGTGTGTAGGAGATCTACTGTGTAAATGACCAAGTGTGTGTGTGTGTGTGTGGAGAGGATTAAGAGTGCATATAGGGTAAGGGATCTAGTGTGTATCTGGAGCGTAATAGTGGTGCAGTGTGAGGGGTGCTCTAGTGTGTGTGTGTGTGTGTGTGTGTGTATGTATATATATATATATATATATATATATTTGGACTTATTGTATGTGTGAGGGGCGCAGTGTGTGTATGTAAGAGGGGTGCTGTGTGTGAGGGTGTTTTTATCTGCTGTCACATTCTAGGTTTCTAATTTTCTTTGTCTGTTAACTCACTGAGGGTTATTATATATATATATATATATATATATATATATATATGTGTGTGTGTGCTGTATATGTGTGGGAATGTGCTGTGTGTGTGAGTGAGGGTGCTGTGTGTGTCTGGGGGGTGCTGTGTGTCTGGGTGCGCAGTGTGTGTCTGGGTGCAGTGTGTGTGTGTCTGGGGGTGCTGTGTGTGTCTGGGGGGTGCTGTGTGTCTGTGGGGGCTGTGTGTCTGGGGGTGCTGTGTGTGTCTGGGGGTGCTGTGTGTCTGGGGGTGCTGTGTGTGTCTGGGGTGCTGTGTGTGTGCTGTGTGTGTCTGCTGCTGTGTCTGGCTGTGTCTGGAGGTGCTGTATGTGTCTGGGGGCTGTGTCTGGGGGTGCTGTGTGTGTCTGGGGTGCTGTGTCTGGGGGCTGTGTGTGAGTGAATGTATTTTTATGTAAATTTAAATATTTTTTTTTACTAATAAAAAAAAAAAAAAATTATTTCCCCCCCTCCCTTCTTACCTTTATCCTGGGAGGGGGGAAGGAGGAGATCCGTTATGCCTGGGGGTGGGGAGCCATGTGGTGATCCAGTGGTGATCCTGCAGGTTAGAGTTCACTCTCGCGAGATCTGAGCGTAGCCTGCCATCCATGGATTCTGTCAGTGTTTTGATCTGTTCACCATCAACATTGCGTGCAGCAGCAACCACAGCCTCCCAGACACTGTTCAGAGAGGTGTACTGTTTTCCCTCCCTGTAAATCTCACATTTGATGATGGACCACAGGTTCTCAATGGGGTTCAGATCAGGTGAACAAGGAGGCCATGTCATTAGATTTTCTTCTTTTATACCCTTTCTTGCCAGCCACGCTGTGGAGTACTTGGACGCGTGTGATGGAGCATTGTCCTGCATGAAAATCATGTTTTTCTTGAAGGATGCAGACTTCTTCCTGTACCACTGCTTGAAGAAGGTGTCTTCCAGGAACTGGCAGTAGGACTGGGAGTTGAGCTTGACTCCATCCTCAACCCGAAAAGGCCCCACAAGCTCATCTTTGATGATACCTGCCCAAACCAGTACTCCACCTCCACCTTGCTGGCGTCTGAGTCGGACTGGAGCTCTCTGCCCTTTACCAATCCAGCCACGGGCCCATCCATCTGGCCCATCAAGACTCACTCTCATTTCATCAGTCCATAAAACCTTAGAAAAATCAGTCTTGAGATATTTCTTGGCCCAGTCTTGACGTTTCAGCTTGTGTGTCTTGTTCAGTGGTTGTCGTCTTTCAGCCTTTCTTACCTTGGCCATGTCTCTGAGTGCTTTTTGGGCACTCCAGTGATGTTGCAGCTCTGAAATATGGCCACGATGCACGCTTGACTTTTCTCAGTTCATGGGCAGTTATTTTGCGCCTTGGTTTTTCCACACGCTTCTTGCGACCCTGTTGACTATTTTGAATGAAACGCTTGATTGTTCGATGATCACGCTTCAGAAGCTTTGCAATTTTAAGAGTGCTGCATCCCTCTGCAAGATATCTCACTATTTTTGACTTTTCTGAGCCTGTCAAGTCCTTCTTTTGACCCATTTTGCCAAAGGAAAGGAAGTTGCCTAATAATTATGCACACCTGATATAGGGTGTTGATGTCATTAGACCACACCCTTCTCATTACAGAGATGCACATCACCTAATATGCTTAATTGGTAGTAGGCTTTCGAGCCTATACAGCTTGGAGTAAGACAACATGCATAAAGAGGATGATGTGGTCAAAATACTAATTTGCCTAATAATTCTGCACTCCCTGTATGATTTGGCCCGAGGGGAATAGTACCTCAGAGTATGAGGATGGGTGTTGGCCTCGTGGGACCACTAACCTAAGGTGAAGAAGCCAGGGGAAGTACAACTAGTGGACACCTAGGACCCTAACAGACAGCCATAGCTAACTAAGAGGGGAGGGTAGCGAGTGAGAGAGAGGACGTACCTGAGTAACGTGGAACGAAACGTGGGTTGGGGCGGTTTACTAAGGTATATTCCCTGAATCAGGAATCCACGTTAGCTATCTCGAACCCAAAATGGCAATGTATTTGTTAATTCTCCAGAGTTAACTATTTAGCGAATAACGCCCTATTTATTTGTGCGAGGCCGGAGTGAGGTAACATTCGTGGTCACATTGTGACTGCGGCCGCTTTCTACTACAACCGTGGTCTTTTAGGCACTAATAGCTGTTACCCAGCAGTGTTCAATAAAATAAACAGGACGTGTGGTGTCAAAGCAAGATGCTGGGAACCGAGAAAAACTCCTGTATGTGTCTGTGAAATCAGCAGAAAAAGGCGGCTGTAGCGGTGAAAAAAAAAAATACAAATATTTATCATGGTTTTATAGAAAAGTTGTACGTATTTTTTTTGCTCTCATTTATTGCTGAGGTTGTAAGCAAAAAGGAAACTCAGTGTTCAGGTATCCTGCCCGAATTGTGTTTCCTTGCTAAGTGGGAAGATTGATTATTCAGCACCCACTGCTCTTTTGGGAAAGGTGCCTTGGGAAGCCCCCAGTCAGGGCGGGGTGGGGGAAGAGTCTGTTATGAATATGAGAAGTTGGGGTTCACAAATGTATGTGTATATGGCATGCTTAACCTTTTTCCCGAAATTGTCCATCTTTTGAGGAATTTAGCTCCAGATAATATGTCAGTCATACCTATTTCCTGCTGCTTCCCTAGAACAAATTCAATGTTAACCTTCTGCAGTAAGAATGCAGAAAACAAAAATCTATCATTGTGCAAATCCCGTTCACCTGTGAGGACATAGCACTCTGTAAAAAACCAAATGCAGAAAAAACTGCACGAAAAGCCCTATCCGGCCATAGGCCTTTCGTGCCGAAAATCAAGTGAAATCGCAGAAACAGCGGGTCATTCGCAGGAAAACAGGCGAATGTCAGACAGCCATGAACCCCTGGAAACAACAGGCTACAGGAACAAGGGAAAGAAAGAACAGTGGTAAGTAGAAAACTCACGTAAACAGAAGAGTTGACAGGACAGACAGCCGACCGGAACAGAGCCCAGAAAGGACAGCGGGGGAACAAAAACAGCGGGGGAACCGCAGGCCAGGTAACGAGAACCACAAGGGACCGGCAAGGAGGAGTTGGCGACCGGAAATAGCGACATGTGAATTGCTAAAAGTACGAACGGGATGGAGGAAGCTGAGTAGGGGGTTTAAATAGGGTAACATGACCCTCCCACAACTGCAGGCCATTTACGGAATGTTCAGTTCATATTCTAAAAAAAATTGCTCTCCATAAGTGGGCCGTTCGTATATTTGCAACCGAACAACCTATTATGTCTTCATAGGTAAATTGGCATGCTGAATTCATACAAACTGTATAGAAGAATGATGTTTGGTTTATTTCTAGCTTATATCAGACCTCTGGTGGTTGATTCATGGTGTTACAATCAGTTGTTTTAAATGGCCACTATAGTGCCAGGAAAACATACTCATTTTCCTGGCACTATAGTGCCCTGAGGGTGCCCCCACCCTCAGGGTCCCCCTCCAGCGCCGGGCGGGGAGCTCTCCTCCTCCTCTCCTCCTCTTTGGCTGAATGCGCATGCGCGGCAGGAGCTGCGTGTGCATTCAGCCAGTCCATAGGAAAGCATTCACAATGCTTTGCTATGGACGCTGGCGTCTTCTCACTGTGATTTTCACAGTGAGAAACGCGGAAGCCCTCTAGTGGCTGTCAATAAGACAGCCACTAGAGGCTGGATTAACCCATTTATAAACATAGCAGTTTCTCTGATGTTTATAAAAAAAAAGGGTTAACCCTAGCTGGACCTGGCACCCAGACCACTTCATTAAGCTGAAGTGGTCTGGGTGCTTATAGTGGTCCTTTAAGGTTTCATTTCATGTTAAATTCTCAAGCTGTTGTTTATAAGATTGGTTAAGTTCATTGCATGATTAGGGCCAGGTCACGTTCTTATCATGTAGGTTTGTCACAATACTGTTTATGGTTGATGTAGCTTAGAATACACAATTATTGCTCTTCTTTTAGTCTGTAGTCTAGGTAGCATATTATCTGGAACTCATAGCAGAGGTCTCCTTCCACTTGGGCTATTGCCTGCTTATTTAATCGCTCAATAGCTAAATTACTCTTCATACGGCCCTATAAGATTTCTGTATAAAGCCTACATTCGGTTAGGTGGGATCTATACGTTATATGCTAGTAAGTGCTATATTAATAGTCACTGGGTTATGAACTGTTATATATTGCATTACAGGTTACACCCCTTAACTTGTAATGCAATATATGACAGTTCATAATCCAGTGACTACTAATATTAATAATGCTCAGCATTACTTTACTTATTTTACTGTGGGTTTTGATCCAAATCATAGGTCTACGATTTGGCCCTCACGATCATTCCCAAACCTAATACCTCAATTTATGGGTCAATAGGTACTAGGTCTCTACTAGTTCAATTACCTTTTACAGTTTAGTGCTGTTTTCATCATAGGCAAGTCATAGACCGCTATGATTGTTGTTTTATGCTAACAGCAGTTACGCATTATGTGTCTACAACAAACACTATTACTATCTTCGTTATCACCCGTGTTTGCTACCTATGAGTCACTTCATGCCTATCTAACCCTACAGGTAGGTCAATTCGATATTACGACTGGTTCTGTTTAGATAGCTGGATACTGGCTTATGGGGTTCAGGAGTCTACAAGTTAATTTCTTCTTAGGCCTTCATGCCTTAACATAGTGGTCCCGCGAGGCCAACACCCATCCTCATACTCGGAGGTAATTTCGCCCATCGGTCCAACTCATAGTTAGTCGCCTTGCATGGAAGCATAGAGAGGGCCTCGCCTGTCACTCCCATTCTATCTTACTAACTGTTACGGTTGCCTCCAGGCTGGCTGGAAGTTGGACCGTAGAAAGGATGCTCCTAGTGCTCACCAAACGACCATCAGCACCGTAGACACTATAAGCATTGCAGACTCCACGAATATATCCAAACAGCACTCAGATCCCACAAACACAGTCAAATTGCCATACACACTAGGTCCATAGTCATGGAGCAGAAGGCTGGCAATTAGGCTTCTCCATAACACAGGGAAGCAGGGCAATTTGTCAAATAAAATAACAGTTACAAATGGCAGTTTGTAACATATCTCCCCTTTTGGAGGGAGACTAACCAGGCACCTGACCTTCTATCGGTCAGTGCCTAAGTTAGTCTTGCAACCCACCCACAAATAAACATTGGCAGAGTAGCCCCTCCACAATAAATAGTACTGGCCTGTAGGTCCCAGGTTGTAGGGTGAAAATGCAGCAACCTCTGCCTTCCTGGTGCAGCTGGGCAAATAGCTGGGGGTACTTGGAGGGCAGAGGCCAGCGGTGCCAGTGCCTCTGCTGGAATGAAGGGGGGTGCAGGCCAGTCCTGTAACAAGGGGGTCGGTAGGGCAGAGGCCAGCGGTGCTCTGCCCTGATGCCAGCTCTTCCGCTGGGATAGCCTGCAGGACTTCAGGCTCTGGACAAGGGACAAAGGGAGGGCAGAGGCCAACTGCACTCTGCCCAGCTGCCAGCTCTTCTGCTGAGGTGACTGGGGCATAGTCCTGCCGGTAGCAGGGGAAACTTGGAGGTCAGTGGGGTTTAACAGCTCCTCTGTTAATCCTGGGGCCAAGTTAGGAGTTAGCTGGGGAGGGGAGAACTGGCTTACCTTCTCCTCCTGATACTCCTGGTGTCGCTGGGGAGGGAGGTCGATGCTCTCTGCTCCCTGTTGAACATGCTGCTGCTGGGGAGAGAGACCGCTTGTCTCCTCTCTTTGTGGAATGCACTGCTGCTGGGCAGAGAGGTCGCTGCTCTCCTCTCCATCTAACTCAGGCTGCCACTGGGGAGGGAGGTCGATGCTCTCCGCTCCCTGAAACTCACATTGAGGTTGGGGATCTGGGCCAATTGCCCAGCATCCCTGTAGGGCTGGTAGAGAGACCTCGGTCCCATCTCTACCTGCTGGCTGGGGTTCCTCCCAGTATACCTTAACAATATCCTTCCAGCTGAAGGGCTCTCGACCTGGCTCTGCTGTTGTGCTCTCCTGGGGGACATCTGGATGCTGTTGAGAAAGGGGACCAGTTGTCTCTTCCCGGGACCCATTGATGAGGTGCTGGTACTTCCACTCCAGGTCACATTCCTGGGTGACTAGTTACCGCACGTCTGCCTCCAGGTCAGTAGCTCTAGGGAGACCCAGCATATCTTCCCAGTCATCATACAGGTCCCAGAAGTGTGAGTCTGTAGCCCTTCCAAAGTCATCATTGTCTGTATTCTCCCAGAATAGACCAGGGCCATTGTAATCCCCACTCTCAGGGAATTCATACTCAGCCATTTCTGGAACAAGCTGAGTCGCGTACCACTGTAGCGCCTGGTATGCGTTTTCGAGCCACAGTTCGCTATATACTAGAGCCTCTAATTTAGCCACCCACGCTGGAAGGGGTTGTTTTCCCAGGAGGGGCATCCGCTCTGCCATTCGAGCCTGGATTCGCTGCCTTCTGCTGAGACTACAATCACCTCGCCAACACTGGACTTTCTCTAGGTCTTCTTCCCACAGCTCGGCTCTGGCCTCATTTCTGTACCCCACCTCCTCTTCTGAGACTGCCCACTCCGTCTGGGCTAGGAAGCCATGCAATCTGTTGGGGAACCTCTCCTCCATTTCGGCTGCTGTGCAAGGACTTGCTGGCTCCATGCTGCTGTAGGTAGGGATGCTGCGCAGAGGCTAGCGTTGCCCTCAATACTCTCTCATACGATACCAGTGTCGTCTGGGTGCTGCTCCTTGCACTAGGACGCCATCCCACCGCTTGCCACCAAATGTTACAGTTGCCTCCAGGCTGGCTGGAAGTTGGACCGTAGAAAGGATGCTCCTAGCGCTCACCAAAGGACCATCAGCACCGTAGACACTATAAGCACTGCAGACTCTACGAACCGCCACTGCTGGATTAGGATCTCGCTGTCTGCTATCCACCCTGGACCTATGACCAGCCGCCAGGTTCCAGTAGGTGAACCTCTTCCTTCTGTAGAGCGAAGCAGGATCAGGAACAAGAGCTCAGTGGCTAAGGGAGCATGAAGAGCATAGCAATCCCTGTAGTGATTATAGCTGTCCCCTACAAACATGAGTCAAGGCTGCAAGTTAGAGGGTAAAGTCATTCTGTTTAATTGGCACCAAAGAGCCTTCTTTTATGCAGGTTTTTCTTACATAGGACCACCCACAGGGTTTTATAGAACAGCCAATAACACACGTACATTACAGAAAACACTCCCAGCAATTACATACAAAATCCTCCCCTCTGCCTGTGATATAATTATGGTACACAATGGTTAACATAATTATCACAGGCAGGAAAAATACAGTTTTTACACACATGCTGTGACTTTAAAAATATACATCCAATCTTCATAAAACATATTCGAACTCAGCACACTTAAAATACAAACATATCCAAAAATCTGACAATTCCCTCCAGTGGTTTAAAAGTTAGGTTGAAATCCTTTGTGACCAACTGAAGCATGACTTTCCAGCCGAAACCAGTTCCACACAGTCCTCTATCCTGGAGATAATTGGCTTAACTGGGTGTGGTAAGCCAACTATCTCCAGGTACAGAAAATTCACACAAATTCACAACAACAGCAAAAATACACAAAAATACATAACTCCTATCATACTGAACAGAACCCCCACATTCAACCTATCCCCAGATGGCTTGGATCTGAGCGCTCAATATATCCAAACAGCACTCAGATCCCACAAACACAGTCAAATCGCCATACACACTAGGTCCATAGTCATGGGGCAGAAGGCTGGCAATTAAGCGCCTCCACACGGAAGCAGGGCAATTTGTCAAATAAAATAACAGTTACAAATGGCAGTTTGTAACAGTAACCGCGAACGTCACCTATTGGCAACCACGCGGCGGTACGGTCCGCCTTAGCCACTTCCCCCTGTCTGGCGCACAGGTGCTTGTCTCCGTGTGGGGAGAGGCATCCAGCCGGCAGGAGTGCCCAAAGTGGCTGAGAATGGTGCTGCGTCATCCTGCCACATCATTCGATGGCCACGAAATCCCCTCAGGCCAACGCATAGATAGAGCCGCTTGGAAGCTAGCAGGGCCTCACCTTTCACCAAACTTAGGTAATTTTTTTCGCCACTTGACATTAGTTAGTAGAGTAGAGACGTACTACTCTTTAATGTCTAGGATGTCGTAACTAACAGAAGGTGGGAACGAATTGTCTATCCCTAGCACTCTAACTAGGTCAAAATACTCCATCACGTGGAAGAAGCAACACTAGCCCAACCTCACTCAGATCTTGGACTATTCCAAGAATCATGGCAAACAAAATACATACAGTATATCACATGGGGAAATGTTTTCTACTCCTAATTGGACAGTCCAATATCAACACACTTTAAATATATTGTTTTCTTTGAAAACATTTCAGGAATCCAAATGTGCTGCCCCATGGCAGGTCCTACGTAGATTGCTATACCGAATTGCAGATATACCAAGCTGGAATTAAACTGTTGTAGATATAGGCTTGAACAATGTTGCTGTTGTGATATTAATCTGTTAGTAATATATAAACAATAAGAGAAATATTACTTGTCTCAGATCTACGTTTTAACGACTAAATATTCTTTTCAGGGCATGTAATGATGTTTACATTTAAATAGCTTATTTCTACATCCATTTATTATAATTCCACCTAGCTATCCTTCAGTATATCTCTCTCTCGTTGGTTGAACTTATCACTTAGTTCAAGGGAAGGGCAGTTGCTAGTCTTTGATCAAACGCTGGTAAAAGACAACACACGCAATTCATTGTGGTTCCAATTGTGGTTCCAACATAAATATGTGGTTCCAATTGTGGTTCCAACATAAATATAAGTCGAGTTTTTCTGCACTTTTTTTGTTCTGAAAAAGCCCCACTTGACTTATACTCAACTCACTGTCTGTATTATGGCAACTTACATTGCCATAATACAGACCAGGACCGATGGGCTCATTACAAGCCCGGTGGTCCTGGGGGGCTCAGGGAATAAAGCCATTAGGAGCTCCTGTCAGCTCCCTTCTCCTCCGTTCCGGTCAGCTCCACTGTAAGTCTTGCGAGAGCCGCGGCGGCACTCAGACCGCGAGACTTATGCTGGGAGCTGACCGGCACGGAGGAGAAGGGAGCTGGAGGAGCTGCTGTAAAGGTCGCTGCCAGCCCCCCTCCTGCACAGCCCATCCACTGGACCACCAGGGAATGAGAGCCCCTCTCCCTGGTCAGCTAACAAGCATGGGGGGATGTAAAAAAATAAATACAAATTTAAACAATATTAAAATACAAATTTAATATTATTATAATATAAAAATGTTAATATTATAATAAAATAAAAAAATTATATTATAATAAAATAAAATAAAAATTTAATCATATTTAAAAAATTAATAATAATATTAAAATAATAATAAAAAAATAAATAATAAAAATGCCCACCCCCACCAAGGTTACACACTCTGCATCACATACACACACACACACTGCGTTTTATACACACACTGCATTATATACACACATACTGTATTATATACACACACTGCATTCATTATATACACACACTACACAAACACTCTGCATTCATTATACACACACACACTACACAAACACTCTGCATTCATTATATACACACACTGTGAATAAAAAATTAATATAATTTTATTGGGATCTAATTTTATTGGTGAAGTAAAACACTCATTATTATTGAGTAAATACTCTACAATGTTATACTCTGTAATGTACTGTGTACTGCTACTCTGCTATACTATACTCTGTTGCCTACAGTGATACGCTATACTATATTATTCCATATTATAATATTCTATATTACCACACTCAACAATACACTGCATACTGCAATACTTTACACTCTACAACATACTGTGATACGTTTTACAAATATGCTCATCAACATACTGCATGCATCAATACAATATTAAATAAAAGACAAGGGATGTGTGTACAACAAAGTGTTAAGGTAAATAAACAGCAGCAGTTCTATACACTTGTGCGGAATACCCTCTCATCCACACCCAAAATCCAAAATCAATAAAGTGGTATAAGTAAAACCTACACCAATAAGTGGAGCGCTAAAATATATGTGCAAAATGGGGTAAACTTACCCCATGTAACCTTGTTACAATCTTTGACTTGTATATGAAATATAAATGATAAAAAAAATACAATACAATACAATGCAGATGGTTTATAAGATAGGATAAAATAAATGGTGGTGAAATAAAACACTCACATTTAACCCCTTAAGGACACGACATGTGTGACATGTCATGATTCCCTTTTATTCCAGAAGTTTGGTCCTTAAGGGGTTAAAGGAGCCTATATATACATACTGGCTCTGTAATCAGGCTTTTAGATTAGCAGTACACCCCAAACCGCTGTAAAATCAAATTAAAAGGTGCAATAAGTATAATGCTCACCTTGTGCAGACCATTACAGTCCTGGCTCTGAGGTATAATGGTGTTGTGCCAACAGAGGACTTTAAAAATAATCAGATTTGTTTGTACAATTTAAATATATAATATATAATATAAAAGGAAATATAGCAGTACAAAAGTCCTGAATGTAACCGAAACATGTTTCACTCTTGTAGAGCTTCTTCAGTCAGCTGTGAGTGTGGTCCTGTAAATCAATATGCAATGTCAATCTGCAGTTGCTAAGGCCAGTAAGGTTTTATCATGTATAAATAGGGGCATAAATTCTCGGGATGAAAATATAATTTTGCCTCTTTATAACTCACTGGTAAGACCACACCTTGAATATGCTGTGCAATTTTGGGCACCTGTTCTAAAGAAGGATATCACTAGAAAAGTGCAGAGACGAGCTACAAAATTGATAAAAGGAATGGAGCATGTGGCGAAACCGACCTCGCCACTGAGCATTGGAGAAGACTGATTGCCAGCCTCCTGCCATGTGACTATGGCCCCTGGGATGTATTGCCCTTTAAAGACATGATTTGGGCATAATGGATTTGTGTTGTGCTGCTGCTGGCCCTTTAAGAACCATCTGGGGACATACTGTGGAGTTACTGGGTGGCCACCATTTCCTGTATCAGAGGCACATGGTGAGAACAATGGATGGAGGCCATTTTAACTCACAGACACTGTTTGGACTTTTCAACACGGTGCTATCTCGCCAGTATTTGGTGCACAGAGACATCGTGCAGTGGTTTTGGACTATACAGCAGGGGACACATTATACAGTGATTGTCTTTCAGTTAGCCTGTATATGTTCTGCCGAATCTGCATTAAACTGTATCTTCCATAGTACTGAACGGATCTGGGTGAATTTTGGATATGTGGTTCACCCAGATCCCCCGGTTCCAAGGATATATGGGATTATTGCATGTCTTGGGGTCCCTGTGATGTGTTTTATGAAACTGTATTTCTCTGTGTGTGATAATTAGATTACCCATTGTGTAAGGTAATTGTATCACAGGCAGAGGGGAGGATTTTGTGTGAGAGTGTCTGTGTGTATTGTACAGATTGATTGGTTGTTCTGTAAAACCCTGTGGGCAGTACTAAGTTTGTGGATTGGGAATAAAAGAGACTGTATGTGCCAGTACAGTCAGTTCCTGCTTAACCCTCAAAGTGAAGTGTCGTCTCATTATTGGGGGAGGATTTATTGTATGCTGTTCCAGTTTGACTGCTAGGAGTGTAAACCTATTCGCATGTTTTTTCCTATTCGGCTGTATACAACATTCATATGCTTAAAAGTACTTAAAAGCTTCTCTGGTTCGGTGATTGTGGTGTCTGCAGAGTGCTTGGAGTCCTCAGGAAATGCTAGGAGCATCCTTCAACGGAGGTACCCAGTCGGGGTGCCAGGTGTGGTAAACATAGCCACTTAGACATTATTTAAGTACTGTCACTTTAAGGGTTGCCTGTATGATTTTCGTGTTATGTGTGTTCCAGCGTATAATGCAATGTGATTGTGTAACACTGTATTGCCTTCATTGGCTATCTGCCGAAAGCAGATAGCTGATTTCCTTTCGTATCACGAACGGAACCTTTGCGGGCCGTTCGTGAACCGAATTAACTATCATTTAATAGCCCACACACCAAGAGACGTGTGGCGCTTGTTAACCGATTGCAATGTTGCAATCGGTAATTAGAAGCTCTCCAAGGTGGCCGTCGTTCGACTACCGAACATGCGGCGGTCGGCCATCTTGGATCCTTTGTTCCCTCAGCGGTGTTTGGTCGTCGAGCGCATGCTACTAAAAATGGCTACTCGACGGCATGAACACCGCTGAGCTTCCAGGCCGTTCGGGAGTTCCGGGCCGTTCGGTATCTTGTTCCCTGGCATGCAATCGGTCTTTTGAACATATGTTTTAATGAATGTGTTTTTCGTGCGGTGTTCGGTTATTTTAGCTGGGATCTGATCGGTAATCTCACGAATGATGCGCTCAGACCCCAGCTATCTACCGAACGTCCATTCGTGCAAATAGACCGTATATTCAAACAGTTATGGATTTTTATATAAATTGTCGGTTCTACTGCACGGAGGGATAATCCACTTAACGGTACATTCCTGTGGGAGGATCCCTCTCGTGCAGCAGTGCCTGATGGGAGAAATGCCCAGAATGTGAAGTCCCCCATGTAGTCCCCTCTGGGAATGCCCCTGGGAGGGGACTCAGGAAACCCCTTGCATGGGGACTTGTATAAATTGTGGAGCTGTGAATAAAGACCTCAGTTAACTCCCAGCCTATGTGTCGTCTAGTTCTTGGGAGGGAAAGATTACTACAGTACTACTTGGATTATTGCATGCTGATTCCCCTGGATTATCCTTTGTTGTTCCTATTAGCCAGCGGAGATATTGTGGATTATACTGCCTCTCCGCTACAATTGGTGGCAAGCGACGGGATTGAATCTACACAGCAAAGCAACGTTCGGCAGAATTAAAACGAATAAAGGAACGGCGATTCGGGAATGAGCTCATTCGGATGAAACCCACGAACGGCTGGTGAATGGGAACAAATTACACCCTGCTAAAACGGAGCACACTAAAGGAGCTGCTGGAAGCAAGAGGAGCAATAACCAGTAACAAGGCAAAGGCGGTCCTAATTACAGAGCTCATGGAAGGAGACAGAGCCGCAGCTGCTGCAGCACCTCCAATGGAGGGAGAACCAAACGAATTTGCAACCGAATTCAGAATACGAATGGCTTTATTCCCTGAACCACCATCTGCAGAGATGATTAACAGGCTCTTCGCTGATGTGCAGGAGTACATCATGTTTAGGAGGGCGCAAGGGAATCAACAAGCCGGAGAAAGAGCCACAACGCCCGTCAATATCCTCCCAGGGAAAGCCAAAATCCCATACCAAGCCTTCAAAAGCTATGTGGAGGCTGACGGTGGCATAGACGACTACTTGCAGGACTTTGAGAGGCTGTGTTTGCTGCATGATATCAGCGATGCATACCAAGTACCCCTACTAGCAGGGAGATTATCTGGGCGCGCCGCAGAAGCATACCGGACAGTACCAGATGAGGATAGTAGAGACTACAATAAGGTGAAACGGGCCATCCTAGCCCGGTATGCGATCACCTCCGAGGCGTACCGCATGAAGTTCCGGGACATTAAAAAACCCACTAAGGAAACTCATGTGGAATGGGCACACCAGCTACAGCGAGCTGCAAAGGGGTGGTTGGAGGCCGCCCAAGTTAACTCATTGGAGGGTCTGTTTCAACTGATGGTCCTGGAGCAATTCTTCAATGGCATCCCTACATACCTACAGAATTGGATCCTGGATAGAAAACCACACACCCTGCAGGAGGCGGCTAAAATAGCGGACGAATTCCAAGATAATCGGAGAGATCAGCCCACACCAACCAGACCCGCCATCGCCCCTACATCAGCCAGCACCGCAGGGGGCCCCACGACTCAACAGCGACCCTACATCAGCCAGAGTTCCTACCCTCCCAGGTATTCAGCATGCCCACCAATTTGGTGCCATACCTGCAACCAACAGGGGCACATTCAGAGGGACTGCCCACGGAATTGGCCCAGGCCCAGCTGGAATAACGCAGCACCAAGCAACCGGGCGGCTGTACACTGCATACAGGCCGAATCCTACCAACCCCCAGAGATGGGGGCAACCCTGGAGGAACCTCTGGGCACCCTACACAACGTAAACCCTATCCAGGCCGCCTCCGATAACCGCCAAGGGCACCGCCAGGAGGTACATATGGAAGGGAGGAAGGTACAAGGACTTCGTGACTCTGGGGCTACCTTAACTCTAGTCCGAAGTCATTTGGTACCAAAACCCAAGCTCACTGGGGACTGTGTTGCTGTACAGGTGGCAGGGGGAGCCATTTACAAAGTACCAACGGCCAAGGTACACTTGAATTGGGGAGCGGGGCACAGGAATGTGTATGTGGGGATGATGCAGGACTTGCCAGCGGATGTGATTTTGGGCAACGACTTGGGGGAGCTGACTTCAGCATTTGTTCCCCAGCCCACAGTACAGGAGGCTTATCCGGTTGTGACCCGACAACAGGCCCGCACCACAGCACCATCCAACCACTCTGAGGCTCAGGTAAGCAATGACCCCCCCATACCCACTGCCATGCCATGGGCCAACCCTCTAGAGTTTGAGTCAGAAGTGGCTCTAGACCCCTCTTTACAAGTGTATAAAGACCGTATTAATAAAGATCAAGCAGGATTAGAAGGGGAAAGGTATATCTGGGACAAAGGACTACTGTACCGACACGCAGAAAAGGTAGTGTCCGGATCTATACCTTTACCCATTAAACAACTCATAGTGCCTCGAAAGTATAGGTTAGAGTTGTTATGCATAGCCCATGATATCCCCCTGTCTGGGCACTTAGGCATCAGTCGTTCCAAGCACAGGCTGACCCAAAACTTCTTTTGGCCAGGTATTTCCCAGGACGTTAGGCGATATTGCCAGACCTGTGATACCTGCCAAAGGGTAGGGAAGAGAGGGGACAGATACAAAGCCCGGCTACGGTCTCTGCCCATAATTGAGGAACCCTTCAGTAGGGTGGCAGTAGACCTCATAGGACCCCTAGCAAAGCCCAGCCCATCCGGCAAGATAATGTCTTGACTGTGGTGGATTACGCCACCAGATACCCCGAGGCAGTGGCGTTAACCAACGTACACGCTGAAACGGTAGCCGAGGCCCTGATGAGAATATTCACGCGGGTAGGATTTCCCCGAGAGATTATTTCAGATAGGGGCACCCAGTTTACCGCTGAAGTAACACATCAGCTCTGGAAGATATGCGGGGTACAGCAAATCCTGAACTCCCCATATCACCCCCAGTCTAATGGGCTCTGTGAACGGTTTAACAGAACCCTTAAGCAAATGATCCATACGTTCATGGACACCCAAAAAGACTGGGAAAGGTTTTTACCCCACCTGCTGTTTGCGTATCGGGAGGTCCCCCAAGAATCCACCGGATTCTCTCCGTTCGAATTGTTATTCAGGAGGAGAGTGAGGGGACCTCTTGACTTGATACGGGAACACTGGGAGGGAGACGAGACCATTAGTGGCACCCCTATCCTACCCTATGTGCTCGAGTTCAGGCAACGCCTGGAGATGCTGACCCAGACCGTCTGAGACAATCTCCAGGTAGCACAGCAACGACAGCACAGATGGTATGATAAGGGAGCCAGGGACCGCAGCTTTCAGGTGGGGCAAAAAGTACTAATCTTGCGACCAGTACACAAAGATAAGCTGCAGGCTTCCTGGCAGGGCCCATACAAGGTGGTAAAACAGATCTGCAACACTACCTATGTGATCGGCCCGGTTACAGGCACGGGAGGCAAACGCATGCTCCACGTGAACATGCTCAAGCCGTACCACGAATGCATTGAGGAGGTGACCGCAATCTGTGCCCCTGCCACCGAAGATTTTGACAATCTACCTCTCCCCGATCTCCTAGACCAAGAGAGCCAGAGCGGAGATCTGGGAGAGGTACAGTTAGGAGAGCGGTTAAACCCCCAAGAGAGAACCCAAGTGCAAAGGTTACTCCAGGAAAAGAAAGCCACGTTTTTCAATTTACCCGGCTTTACCCCGTTAGCTACGAATAAGGTAGAAACTTTAGATCAGACTCCTCTGCGCCAAACCCCATACCGCATACCCGAAGCAGTCAAAGAAAATATGTGCAAAGAAATTGAGGAAATGCTTCAGTTGGGAGTGATAGAGCACTCAGACAGCCCCTGGGCCTCCCCGGTAGTACTAGTGCCGAAACGGGACGGAACAACCCGTAGACTACCGGCGGCTCAACGATAAAACGACCTCAGACGCTTATCCCATGCCCCGAATAGACGAGCTCCTAGACAAAATGGCCAGGGGCCAGTACCTTACCACAATAGATCTGTGCAAAGGGTACTGGCAAATTCCGTTAGCAGAAGACGCAATTCCTAAATCGGCCTTTGTCACCCCGTTTGGGTCATGCCATTCAGGATGAGAAACGCCCCAGCTACCTTCCAGAGAATGGTAGACAGGTTATTGGATGGTAAAAAAACACAAATTTATAGAGAGCGCCAAAAAAAATAAAAATAATATAGTGGATTTTCTAAGCAAGTGCTTCAAGTTATAATTATCCACAAGAAAAAGTTAATATACAAAGCTGCCCGATACACTAAAAACCTTCCCAAGTTTTAAAACATAACATAAAATAAAATAAACACAGTATCAGCGCTTAGTTGATATACCCCTATATTTCATATAAGGGTCACCAACAAAGATATGTTAAATTAAATGAAAAAGTTCCAATTGTAGAACGAGCGAAACGCGTAGATCGTGTTTCTGGCGGGATTTTTGAATTTGGATAGACTGCAGTAATATCGGTCAGTTGGCGTTTCAGTGAGGATCGATCCGAGTGCACAGGACCGGTCTGGGGTTGAACATCCACGGAGTGGTAACTTTATATTCACCAACCGACATTCTGCATATCTATGCTTTTATTGTGAACCTTAGAAATAAGTTTCACCAAGTTTTAATGTAAGAGTTCCTCTTAAGGGGGGTTTACCGTGTGGGAAATAAAGTGCTGAAACTGTATCACGCTATGTCAGTATCTTTTTATTAAAGGTTGGATACACATAGAGACAAAGTTTTTTTACATCAATTTCTGTTTCAACTATCAAATCCCTGCGGACATTTTGAAAACACCCCAATAAGACTACAATTGGAACTTTTTCATTTAATTTAACATATCTTTGTGGTTGACCCTTATATGAAATATAGGGGTATATTAACTAAGCGCTGATACTGTGTTTATTTTATTTTAGGTTATTGGATGGGTTCCAGGAGTATGCATGCGCATATCTAGATGATATCGCCATATTCAGCTACTCCTGGCACGAACATCTAGTCCATATAGGAGCCGTGCTAGACCGGATCCGGGAGGCCGGACTGACCTTAAAACCCAGCAAATGCCATATAGGTATGGCAGAAGTGCAGTACCTAGGGCACCGGGTAGGGAGCGGGCAACAGAAACCAGAACCCGCTAAAATAGAGGCAGTCACCCAATGGCCCACCCCTCGTAACAAGACCCAAGTGCTCGCCTTCTTAGGGACCGCCGGGTACTACCGGAAATTTGTGGCCAACTATAGTGCCCTTGCCAAACCCCTCACTGATTTGACCTGTAAGAATCTCCCTAAGCTAGTAGCCCGGGCCCCAGAGTGTGAGCAGGCATTTCAACAGCTCAAGACGAGTCTTGTTAAATCACCTGTACTTTCTGCTCCTGATCCAACTAAACGTTTTCTCGTCCACACAGATGCTTCTATGTTTGGATTGGGAGCAGTACTGAGCCAAGTTGGACCCAATGGTGGCGAGCACCCCGTAGCTTATCTAAGCCGAAAACTTTTACCCAGGGAAGTAAGCTATGCCGCCATTGAAAATGAGTGCCTGGCTGTGGTGTGGGCCCTCAAAAAGTTGCAGCCCTATTTATACGGACAACCCTTTACACTACTCATGGATCACAACCCGTTGCAATGTTGCAATCGGTAATTAGAGGCTCTCCAAGGTGGCTGTCGTTCGACTACCGACCATGCGGCGGTCGGCCATCTTGGATCCTTTGTTCCCTCAGCGGTGTTTGGTCATCGAGCGCATGCTACTAAAAACGGCTACTCGACGGCATGAACACCGCTGAGCTTCCAGGCCGTTCGGGAGTTCCGGGCCGTTCGGTATCTTGTTCCCTGGCATGCAATCGGTCTTTTGAACATATGTTTTAATAAATGTGTTTTTCATGCGGCGTTCGGTTATTTTAGCTGGGATCTGAGCGGTAATCTCACGAATGATGCGCTCAGACCCCAGCTATCTACTGAACGTCCATTCGTGCAAATAGACCGTATATTCAAACAGTTATGGATTTTTATATAAATTGTCGGTTCTGCTGCACGGAGGGATAATCCACTTAACGGTACATTCCTGTGGGAGGATCCCTCTCGTGCAGCAGTGCCTGATGGGAGAAATGCCCAGAATGTGAAGTCCCCCATGTAGTCCTTTCTGGGAATGCCCCTGGGAGGGGACTCAGGAAACCCCTTGCATGGGGACTTGTATAAATTGTGGAGCTGTGAATAAAGACCTCAGTTGACTCCCAGCCTATGTGTCGTCTAGTTCTTGGGAGGGAAAGATTACTACAGTACTACTTGGATTATTGCATTCTGATTTCCCTGGATTATCCTTTGTTGTTCCTGTTACCCAGCGGAGATATTGTGGATTATACTGCCTCTCTGCTACACCAGGTGATCCGTTACATTGGTGGATGCGGTGGGATGGCGTCCTAGTGCGAGGTAAAGCAGCTCAGAGACACCGTTCGTGGAGTTACAAATTGAGGGCAACGCTAGCACACGTGCACCACCCCTGGGAGCAGAGGTATCCAGCGACTTGGAGCAGACAATTATGGAAGGCTCTGGCGATGATTGGATGGCCGAGGTGAGGCAGCGAGTGGCCCAGTATGGGGATGATGTACCCATGGAGATACGCCGGGTGATCTGGAACCAGGTCGTCTCCCCCTGAGGCGGCCGAAGGAACCTGAAGTAGGGGTTCTCATAGACTGGTCCTGTGAGGAACCACAACAGGCAGGTGGAGATGGGACCGAGGTCTCTCCACTGGGCCCACCGGGATGCTGGGCAGCCGGCCCAGATCCCCAGCAGCAGCCGGAGTTGCCAGGTGCGGAAGCAGGTGGTCCTTACTCGCAAAGGCTGAGGGACCTCACAGACTGGTCCTGAGAAGACCCACAGATGGCAGGTGGAGATGGGACGGCGGTCTCTCTACCGGCCCTACAGGGATGCTGGGCGGTCGGCCCAGATCCCCAGCGGCAGTATGTATCACAGGGAGCTGAAGGTGCTTTCCTTCCTCCCCAGCGGCAGCATATTTCACAAAGGGTAGACCTTATTCTCCCAGATCTGGCAGATGAGACAGTTGGTCTCGCTTCTCAGCAGCAGGACAATATTTTGAATTGGGAGACAATCGGTCCCCCTCTCCACCAGCAGAGAGAGTATCAGGGAGAGGAGCCTGTTATCCCCCTCTCCCCAGCGGCTTAAAGTGTGTAAGGTAGAGGAGCTTGTTACCCCCTCTCCCCAGAGGCAGCGTAGCCCACCAATGGGAGACACTAAGCCCCCCACCAGCGCAGAGGGGACCGTGGTCTCTGCTCCCAAGCTACAGGGAGTACGGACAGTCGGTCCTGCTCCCCAGCGGCAGAGTATTCTACCAGGAGGGGAGAGTCTCGTTCCCTCTCCCAAGCGGCAGCATAGCCCACCAAGGGGAGACACTAAGCCCCCCATCAGTGCAGATGGGACCGTGGTCTCTGCTCCCAAGCTACAGGGAGTACGGACAGTCGGTCCTGCTCCCCAGTGGCAGAGTATTCTACCAGGAGGGGAGAGTCTTGTTCCCCCTCCCCAGCGGCAGCCTAGCCCACCAAGGGGAGATTGGGACCTGTGCCCAAACCACAGGGTGTAGGGACAGTCGGTCCTGTCCCCCTGCAGCAGGGCTGTTTATCCAAAGGGGAGACAACCTCCAGCAGCAGCCCCAGGTCCGGAGTGAGTAGCCTACTACGCTGTTCCCTCACCTGGGCTCCAACCAGGCTACTCCCGTAGTAGCGCTGGCACCAGGGCAGAGTACCGCTGGTCTCTGCCCACCCAGCAACCCACCAATCCAGAGTGCTAGTACCCCCCAGAGCCAAGGTGGAGCTCCTGGACAAGCGACCCACTACTCCAGGTGTAGTAACCAATTTTCGTGGGTGGGTTATACTGCGGATTCTGTTTTGTGGGTGGGTTGCTGGACTAACCAAGGCACTGACCAACAGGAGGTCAGATACCTTGTTAGTCTTTTTGGGAAAGGGGAGAAATGTGGTGAAACCGACCTCGCCACTGGGCATTGGAGAAGACTGATTGCCAGCATCCTGCCATGTGACTATGGCCCCTGGGATGTATTGCCCTTTAAAGACATGATTTGGGCATAATGGATTTGTGTTGTGTTGCTGCTGGCCCTTTAAGAACCATCTGGGGACATACTGTGGAGTTACTGGGTGGCCACCATTTCCTGTATCAGAGGCACATGGTGAGAACAATGGATGAAGCACATGGTGAGAACAATGGATGGCGGCCATTTTAACTCACAGACACTGTTTGGACTTTTCTACATGGTGCCATCTCGCCAGTATTTGGTGCACAGAGACATTGTGCAGTGGTTTTGGACTATACAGCAGGGACACATTATACAGTGATTGTTTTTCATTTAGCCTGTATATGTTCTGCAGAATCTGCATTAAACTGTATCTTCCAAACTACTGAACGGATCTGAGTGAATTTTGGATATGTGGTTCACCCAGATCCCCCGGTTCCAAGGATATACTTTTTTATGGGGTTATTGTATGTTTTGGGGTCCCTGTGATGTGTTTTATGAAACTGTATTTCTCTGTCTGTGATAATTAGATTACCCATTGTGTAAGGTAATTGTATTACAGGCAGAGGGGAGGATTTTGTGTGGGAGTGTCTGTGTGTATTGTACAGATTGATTGGTTGTTCTGTAAAACCCTGTGGGCAGTACTAATTTTGTGGATTGGGAATAAAAGAGGCTGTATGTGCCAGTACAGTCAGTTCCTGCTTAACCCTGAAAGTGAAGTGTCGTCTCATTATTGGGGGAGGATTTATTGTATGCTGTTCCAGTTTGACTGCTAGGAGTGTAAACCTATTCGCATGGTTTTTCCTAATCGGCTGTATACAACATTCATATGCTTAAAAGTACTCATATGCTTCTCCGGTTCGGTGATTGTGGTGTCTGCCAGAGTGCTTGGAGTCCTCAGGAAACGCTAGGAGCATCCTTCAACGGAGGCACCCAGTCGGGGTGCCAGGTTATCCATTACAGAGCATTTTAGTTATGAAGAAATGTTAAAAAATGTAAATCTCTTTAGTATGGAAAAACGGCACCTCTGAGGGGATATGATAACATTATACAAATATATTCGGGGCCAGTACGAGTAGGACACAAGGTCTCACATTTAGGCTGGAAGAAAGGAGATTTCATCTAAGGCAAAGAAAAGGTTTTTTTACAGTAAGAGTAATAAGGATATGGAATTCTCTAAAACAGAAATAATAGGTCGCGCTTCAACAAATAAATATAATATATTAATATACACTAAGAAACGTAGAGAAAAAAGTGTATAATTTATAAAATGAATAATTAATAGTCCAAATACTTGGTGTACTTGATATAAATTCCAATGGATAGATAAAGGTCTCAGTCCTTTATGTCCGTCTCTTACTGTATTCGGCAAAGGGGTAATGTATTCAATGAGAAACAGGAACTTCTAATGCGAGCGTAGTCTTGACTCGATGGTAACCATGAAAAATAGAGAAAACAGGGAAAATCCAATAGTGTAGATTGTCTATAGGTAACTGAAAGTATGAGGAATAATAGGGAGGTAATACATTCACCTATTTTTGAGCATATACTCGCTCTAGTGTATTAGGCATTCAGTGGCGTTTGTCCCCCACTGGTAGGATATAGGTGAAGATGATTCCTCCGTGTAAGAAAAGGGATAAAAAACACAATATAGTGCTCACTGGATATAAATATAATAAATAAAATGAGAGAATAAAAATACTCACATTCAAATGAGCAGGATAAACTGCTCAATGTAAACGCACGAGTGGTACAATCCCCACCCAGGATTCTTGGCTGTATGTAGACTCCAAGGTGAAAAGTAACCGGGTACCAGGAAATTAATAAAATGAAATAAAAAAGGTATATGGCAAAAATATGATAAAAGAGCCAATATTCCTTTATTAATACAGTGTAAAATATAATTAATAGCCAAAACGCGTTTCGCCACACAGGGCTTTATCAACTGGCAATAGTAAAAAACAGCCTGGTACATAGATACTTATATAAACTTAGATAAAACATGTTAATTCAAATTTTGGCGCCAAAATGACGTCATCAGTGCAATGGATAAAATAAAGAAATTTAAAAACCATTCAAAACATAAAAAAAGAAATGCATAATATTAATAAAACAAAATATTTGATGATTATTAAGTTTTAAAATTAAAACGAGTATTGTATACAAAAATAAAAAGGTAAAGAAGGATAAAAAGTCATGTGATCGCAATATAATGTGGTCACATGGTAAGTATTAGTGCAGCATGGGAATTGTAGTAAGAGGTGGTCACGTGGTCGCAGACCTGCGCGACCACGTGGCTTGCCGCATGCACATGAAAAAGGAACAGTAGTCAGATGGAGGTCGGCAACTGGCAACACGCCTCCGTCTGACGTCTGCTTAAGGGGCGGCAACATTCGCCGCAAGTGCATGTGGGGCATATAGTGATTCGGACGGAGGCTAGCATAATAAAACACGCCTCCGTCCGACATCACTGAAAAGGGCGGTGCAAAGTGCCGCTCATATATGACTGTGTACAGATAAACCCCATATACTTAAATACAGTAAAGCAAATAGGGACAATCATCAGTTGGAGTATTTTACAAGAGAAAATAAAAAATAAATAAATGAGTAAACATTATGATTGTCACAGTGGATACTGACAATAGGTAGATAAAACATCTAAAGAAAGAAAAACAAATGCTGATGTTGATAAATAGAAATAAATATAAAAATTAATATAAAAATAAAATTAAAATAAAAGTGAATATGAGAAAAAAAAAAAAATTTATTATTACATTTAATATAGCTGGTTTATAAAAAATTAAAAATGTCAAATTCAGCATTTAAACCCTCAGGGAAGAGAGTTTTTAGTTGAAAAACCCAATACATTTCCCTTTTTCCTAAAGCTTTAGTTATATCTCCACCTCTTCATGGGAGAGTAACTTGTTCAATCCCAATGATTTTTAAAAGAGTAGGGTCTTTATTATGTGTAAGAAAATGCTTAGAAACTGAGTGATTTTCGTAACCTCTTCTAATATTACGGCAATGTTCTGCCAATCTCACTTTTAAGCATCTTTTAGTCATGCCCACATATTGAAGTCCACAAGGACATTCTAGTAGATATATGACATTTCTAGTATTACAACCTATAAATTCTTTAATTGTATAGGAAGTTTTAGTGATATTAGAGGAAAAGTGAGTAATTTTAGAGTTTTTAATTTTTTTTGTGGTTCTACACACAATGCATTTATTGCACTTAAAACAACCTTTCGGCCTAGATAAAAAGTTTTTGTTTTGTAGTACATTCTCTTTCGTATAATTTTTTGTAAGGATTGTTCTAAAGTTAGGAGCTCCTCTGAACACAACATTGGGTCTGTCTGGGATATAGTCTTTTAGAAGATTGTCCTGTTTTAGGATATGCCAATGTTTAAGATTTTTTTTAAAATTGTATTCTTATTATTAAAATCCAATATAATAGGTAATTGAGGAGGGTCTACTTTTTTAACCTTGTATTCGAGAAGCTCCTTTCTTTCCTTCTTTTTTACTGCCTCTAGGGCTGTATTTAACTTATCTGCTTCATAGTTTTTATCTAAGAACTTATTTTTCAATGAGGTAGACTGAACGTTAAAATCAGCTTTTTGAGAGCAGTTTCGGTGAAGGCGGAGAAATTGGCTTTTTGGGATACCATCCAACCAGGGTTTATGATGACAACTAGTTTGATCAATGATCGTATTGGTACAAACTTCTTTAAAGAAGGTTTTAGTTTGGATACAGCCGTCTTTTATAAAAATATTTAAATCTAAAAAATTAACTGACGTTGTGCTAAAATCTGAAGATAAAACTATACCTCTGTCATTAGTATTTAAAAATTCTAAAAACTGCTTTAAAGAGGTTTCAGAACCTTGCCAAATAAAAAACAAATCGTCAATATAACGGAAGTAGGAAACCAAGTTTGCCCGCCAGTCATGGTCACCCCAAACTGCCGAGGATTCCCAATCGGCCATGAACAGATTAGCGTAGCTGGGGGCAAACCTGGTTCCCATAGCCGTACCTTTCTTCTGTATATAAAATGAATCTAAAAACCAAAAATAGTTGTTCGTGAGGATTATATCTATACCTTGTATGATAAAATCAATTTGGGAATCTGAGATGGAGCTATTCTGTTTCAAGGACCTCTCTACTGATTGGAATTCTCTGCCTGAAGAGGTGGTTTTATCCGAGTCCATACAGATGTTTGAACTGAAATTGGATAAATACTTGCAAAAACATAATATACAGGGATATCATTTCTAATTAGTGGGGTAATAGCTGCTTGATCCAAGGAGACATCTGACTGCTATTTTCTAGTTTGTTGCAAATGCAAAGACTAGGTCTTTTGCCTTCTTTTGGATCAACAGCAAAAACATATGTGAGAAGGCTGAACTTGATGGACGCAAGTCTTTTTTCAGCTATGTAACTATGTAGCTATGTAATACCCAGCCAGCCTGCTATAATATATATATTATTTTTGATATGTAACCAATAAAAGCTATATTTTATAAAGACCGTGAGTGCGGACCATCAACTCAATCTTTGCATGTTTGGATGACCCAGGTCCAGCACCCGGCATTTCTAAGTATATCTTTTCTGCAGCCTGATGTGCAAGGAAACAATGGATTAATATATGTATTAAGGCCATTTGGCCTGTAATTGTGGGAGGTGCTTGTTATTCACTGTTAGCTTACTTAAGAGACACCCCTTACCTGGCTCCATACCATTCGAGGTCAGCGTTGAATGAGGATCCACTTCCGGGTTCTCTCAGACGCCATCTTGGTTTTCAGTATCCGCGGAAAGCTGTGTCCAGGAATCCTTTTACAGGCCTTTCCGTCTGTCAATCCTTTTACAGGCCTTTCATCGTCGTAGATCACGTCCCAGGGACTCCTAAGCCGTAAGTTAGACCTACCTGTCACGCCAGGATCGGTTCCCACGGCGTCCGGCACAGCACGGGTCCTCATTTTACGGTCTTTTCCCTGTTATGTTGCAAGTGGACAATCCGTTCGCGGAATCATTTCGAGCAATATTCGGCAAATTCATTGTGTTAGTTAAGGGTTGTCATTTCGCCTAAAGCTGTTCCGTGTTTTCGGCGAAACAAGCTATCCTTTCGGCTATTTTGCCTTTCGGCACTTGTTCATGATATGCTTAGCACACTTGCCTGTTCGCATAGGTTTTTCGTTTCAGTTCTGTTTCCCTTGCCATAGAGTTCGGAATGTTGTCTTGCTTATGTATTCGCATAAATCCTTTTCGTGCATTACATACATCATTTCATGCCTATATTATTCAGTTAAACAATTTGGTTTTGCTTACTGGATATAAACTAATTCTATTTACTGTTTAAAGGTATGAGGGTTGTATTGGTTTCCATAGCAATCCAATTCACATATCTGTATGGATCATTTGACTCCCACGCTGTCAGGGGTTTTCCATACTGATCCATTACAGTCACGTTTTTTTAGCCTACAGTTACAGGCCTCATTTCTGTTTTAAACTATGACAAGACATATACATGAGGATACGATTTCCTTTTCTAAGCAGGGAATTCTCGGGTTGAATCACACATACTGATCCAACCAATCATACGTCTTTGCATTACAGTACTATCATATACAACTTTACATCATCACTTTGGAGAATTGTTTTCACCCCTTCCCCTTTGTGGTTAATTATATGTCAGCATGGCTCATCTAAGTACAGGCCGTGGCCTCCCCTCCCCCCCTTTTTTTCTTACTTGAACCCCATCATACATCCCCTCTGTTTATAGCCAGAATCCTGGCACTAGAAGACACTGCATCACTTGGCCTTTTAGTAACATTTATGTTGTCATGGCATTTCTCTGTCTGTGATAATTAGATTACCCATTGTGTAAGGTAATTGTATCACAGGCAGAGGGGAGGATTTTGTGTGGGAGTGTCTGTGTGTATTGTACAGATTGATTGGTTGTTCTGTAAAACCCTGTGGGCAGTACTAATTTTGTGGATTGGGAATAAAAGAGGCTGTATGTGCCAGTACAGTCAGTTCCTGCTTAACCCTGAAAGTGAAGTGTCGTCTCATTATTGGGGGAGGATTTATTGTATGCTGTTCCAGTTTGACTGCTAGGAGTGTAAACCTATTCGCATGGTTTTTCCTAATCGGCTGTATACAACATTCATATGCTTAAAAGTACTCATATGCTTCTCATTGTATGCTGTTCCACTTTCGTGCCATTTACCAGTTTATCTCCATAACCAAATCCTTAAAACACCTCTGGTGCAGGCTACACAGACTACACCATTCCCACACAGACTATCCGTTTCAGGTTATCCAGGTTTATATAGTTCACCATACGAATTCGCAGTGATATACCCATACTACCAGGTACGTACGCCTGCTCACCTGGTATTCTTACATACATTTCATCCCCCCCAAGGTTAGAGTACTGGTAATAGGGTCACAGGCTCACCAATATGTATTTACCCCTTCTTGGCATTTGCCATTGGTTAGTGGTCCCGCGAGGCCAAGACCCCGCCTCAACGTTCGGAGGCAAACACCCATCAGGCCACACGTGAGCTACTCGCCTCGCATGTCGCATAGAGAGGGCCTCACCTGTCACTCCCTTCCCCTGTTTTCTGTGTTATAGTCACCGAGAGGCCTACAATCCTGCCACTACGACGGGTGGCCTCGAATCCCCTCGCGCCAAGGCATAGATAGAGCCTCTCAAGCCACTTGGCAACTAGCAGGGCCTCACCTGTCACCAAATAAGTTTAATGTTTCGCCATCTGGCTTAGTTAGCTTGCAAGTACAATCTCGGTGGTTTTCATACACTAATTGTTTTATTTTAGTATGTCTCAGGAAGAGGTAGAGGATTTCTCCCTGCCTAGCACCCTGGCTAGAGCATTTACTCCTACACAAGGAGGAGAGGTAACCAGTCCAGCATCAATCAGATCCTGGACAATCCCTCGTATAACTACTAAATTAAGGAGACGGCAAATCCCTAGCCGGGCCACCCGCTGCTGCTTCCCCAGCACCAGCCAACTTGCTGTTAGTTGCTCCGGCCATCACCCAGGAGGACCAGGAAGTTAGCCCTGCTCACATGATCCCTGAGCACCTAAAAAGAGATATCCTGGAAGGTAAAGACGTCAGCCTGGCTTCTCTGCTGATTGCTTCCCAGGATATCGTGGAAAATAAGACTTATGCATATGATGATGTGTCTGTTGTGGTCAAATCTAGGGACGCCCGCCTAAACAGGAATCTGACTATTCTCTAGTTTGTACTATCTTTTGGTATTTACCGGGACGTCATCTGTGCGGTCTATCCCAATAGACGAGAGGAGTTTGATCTTTATATGCACAAGCTGGTAGACCAGGGCAACAAATATGGTGGATTAGCCTTCTATGACTACCATAGGTCTTTTTTTTGCAAAAGTGTCTGGGGCCTTCTCTCAGTATGGAACAAGATCCAACTGGGGTAGGATTGATACCGTCATATTTTGCAGACACTTTGCAGGTCTAAGAATACGGGCTTGTGCATACTGCTCCTCTACGGTGCATACGACAAATTTTTGTCCCAACACGGCGGACGAACATGCTTCCACGCAAGGAGCTAGTTCCTCTGGTGTTTCAGAGAAAGTAACCAGAGACAAACTGGGATGCCCGATCAGGTTTCTGGGCAAGTCCCAGATATGTAATAATTTCAATGTCGGTCTTGTAATTATAGTGGATGTAGATTATTGCATATCTGTTTAAAATGTTTTAGGGCACATGCCAAAACCATGTGTCCAAATAAAATGTACCCTAAGCCGTATCTAACGTCCATTAACATTTCGGTATTCACAACATTTCTGTCACATCACCCGTCTAGACACTTGGTAGATTTTCTTATCTCTGGTTTAACAGAAGGCTTTCACACAGGTATTCTACACATACCGTCCGGGATTCTAGAATTCCCTAATCTACAAATCTGCACAGCACAACCCCACAGCTGTTGACACTCTCATAGCTCAGGAAGTTGCTGAAGGTTTCCTGTTGGGGCCTTTCCAGTCTCCTCTGTTCAACGAATGGCGCACTAACCCATTGGTAGTGTCACAGGGAAATCTTCCCTTAAACAAAGACTCATTATTGACCTGTCTGCACCACACTCATTGGCTAACCCCAGTCTCAATTCCCTCATACCCTCTGAAGAATTCTCCCTGCAATACATTACCATAGATCACGCCATTACAGCTATCATACAGGCAGGGGTCGGAGCATGGCTTAGTAAGACCGATATTACTCACGCCTTTAAATTGCTGCCAATTCACCCTACAGTGTGGCACCTGCATGGCATCAAGTGGTCCGGGAACTACTACTTTTTCTCCCGATTAACTTTTGGGTCCAAAAGTAGCCCTACTATTTTCGACACATTTGCCGAAGCATTGTGCTGGTTACTATTGAACATAGCCAGGTGCCCTACGGTATTACATTACCTGGATGATTTCTCACTGGTCGAGGATAACACTTCCTCTCCCAGTAGCTTAAAAGCTACCACAAAGCAATTCGAACAGCTAGGTGTCCCAATCTCCCCAAAGAAAACTGAGGGGCCAGACACGATTATCACATTCCTGGGTATTCAATTAGACTCAACCACAATGCAAGCAAGCCTGCCACACGACAAGATAGGAAACATTCTTAGCTACATCAACCACTACCTTCAGCTCGGTACTTGCAACCACAAAGAGCTACAGTCCCTGCTGGGTTCTCTAAATTTTGCCATGCGTATCATACGTCAAGGCCGCTCCTTCATATCACGACTCTTGTATCTATTTCCACTCTTTCTACACGACACACACAGGTTGTCCTTAGATACTCAAGCTACGGCAGACTTACGCATGTGGAAGAAATTTTTAACCACTTGAAATGGTAAAAATATGTTCCTCCCTCAATTGACTGACTCATCACCTACCATTTGATCAGATGCGGCATCTACCACAGGTTTTGCAGCAATTTTTGGGAACGAATGGCTTTAGGGCAGCTGGCCTACAGCAGTTCAGGATTTGGAGGGTTTTTCCACTACCGCAGCTCTCTTTGAGATCTATCCCATTGTGGCGGCTGCTGTAGCATGGGGTCATTTATGGGCAAACTTGCCAGTACGTTGCTACTGAGATAACCAGGCAACCTGTCACATCATCAACAAAGGTCATTCCAAATCCTTTACGATCATGAGATTTCTGAGGAAACTCACTTGGTTGTCTGCTTGTCATAATTTCTTCCTGTATTGTTTCCATGTTCCAGGTGTATGTAACACAGCTGCTGACAGTTTGTCTCGTTTTAAATTCCAGGCATTCCATCAAGCACTCCCATCAGCCGCACTCACAGCCACAACTACTCCAACATTTCAGCAACTAGTGCTGGACTAGACGCCATTATGCATCATAGCAGGGCACTGTCCCAATTGGCACTGTCAAACAATACGCACAAAACATACGACAGGGCCTTTCGGAACATAACATCATGCAACCATTTGTCATGACATCTTTGTTGGGGTTCGCTTCTTTTTGCCACCTTAAACTTAAGATGTCATACAACACCATCAAACTTTATCTAACAGGCATTCAACACCATATGCTAACCTTACAACCAAACAACACAAGATTCATGGCCTCTCACCAAATTAAGACTATCCTCAGGGGCATTCAGAAATCTGAACCCACACGTACATCACAGAGGCTACCCATAGACAACCATATTTTCAAAGCATTGTCTAACCTGCTCGACTTAAAACCTTTTGACACCAACACGAATTCTGTCATCAAAGCAGCAATCTACATAGCTTTCTATGGATTCCTAAGACCTAGAGAATTCACTACGACCAACGCCACACAATCTACTGCTATTCTCCTCTATTCCCACTTAACAAAAGACATGGATCATTACATCCTGACTCTGCCTCACTCCAAGACCAGTCAGCATGCACCAGTTAAAATAGCATACTATCCTACGCACAACAGGTGGTGCCCAGTCACGATCTTTGATGCATGCATACAGCATCATAACTCACTACCATCACAACCATTATTCATTTTACAAAGTTTGGTATTCACCACTACAGCCTTCATGATCTACGTCAGGTCTTTACTCACGCAGCTGGGCCTCAACCCAGCTAACTACTCGAGGCACTCCTTCCGCATAGGTGTAGCATCCACGGCCTCCAGTGTTAACATTCCAGTTCATGTTATAAAAGCACTGGGGCGCTGGAAATCATCCACTTACTCACGGTACACACCGAACCCAGTACAAGAATTAAGAAATGCATTCAAAGACATGTCTAGTTGATATGTGTATTTGTATTGGTTGTCTGTAATAAATTTGATTACTTAATTTTGCCCCCTTTGTTCTCAGGCCTACCTCATCGTCGGTTCCGGCACACCACAACCGACTTGCTCTTTTATACCATCCTACGTTCATTATGGCATTTTACTCTGTACTATCATAAGCACCTAACACAAATATATATATATATATATATATATATATATATATATATACACATACATAGTTAATAAAATGTTAAACAAAAATCTGCACACCAGTCAAGCCATAAGACTTGCTTTTCCCACAGAAATGACAAATTTGCAGTGATGTTACTACCGCAAAGGATTCTGGGTGGGCATATGCAAATTAGTTTAACAAAGAATCACATTTTTGCCTCATTCCATTTTATACATGGATTCTTTTGAGTCTGTGTTTGCTGTATACAACAGCTTAGGAAAATATGCAAAGCCAGTGAACCACTCATGTGCTTGCGTGTATTCAGACATGCTCTGGTTATTTATATTTCAAACTATTGTACTCACTGTTTTGTTTGTTCTATTCGATTAAGTTACCCTTGGTTCCTATTTCATAACTCAAAGGTCGTTCAATCATTCTGGCCACCTTACCTATGGCATATCTTATGTATCTACATGTGCCTCAAGCAGATCTTGTCATACATCGATAAGTATCTGAATACTGGTTAATGCAATCGCAAAGAACTGTAATCTTCTTTGGGTTCCCTTAACTTTTGCGATGAAAATTATTCCGCAAGGTCATGCTTTCATATCCAGATTATTTAACTTTTACCCCATTTTCAGTCCTATAATCTCCATATTGTGCTTGACTAACATGCCACCTCCGATTTGCACATATCGAGACTTCCTACTAAAATGGAAAGGGAAACCCACTAACCAAGTTGTTTACAGATCCCCCCCCCTTTTTTCCCCCAAAGAGAAAAACAATGAAAAAAATAACCCCCTCCAAAAAACCAACCCCCCCCCAAAAAAAAAACAAGAAGTTTGCGTATAAATTATCAAGAGTGGGGATCACTCATTCTGTATTATATACCTGGCATATGGTCCAAAGTGGTTCATGGGCGCTGCGCGCAGGTTGACAGCCAGACCGTATTCCCCGAAAAACTCTGGCGAGTAGTAAGACCAGACGGTTTCATTTGTCTCTCCAATGCAAGCTAATTGCACTAACTCTCTCTTCTCTATCTCTACCTGTCATCTCTTTCTTCCTTCTCTTTATGGCGGGGGACATGGTGGGCGCGGTGGGGGTGTGGGGTGCCGTGGTGGCCTCTCAACAGGGGGGTAAGCAATACAAAGGCGATAGAGTTCATGAAACCCCATGACAGTACACGTGGTCTCACTGAACGTAAAGGGTCTTAACGCCCTGACCAAGAGGCGAATACTTTTCCGCGAACTAAAGAGACTAAAGGCGGATATCGCCTTTCTTCAGGAGACACACATCACCAAACAGACATGATTTAAACTTAGCGACCGTACCTATACGGCCTCCCACGAAGCTAGAACACACTGTAAGTGCAACGGAGTGGCGATAATATTAAAGAGTAGCTGCCCACTGCAGATCACAGCAACAGATCCAGATCCTGAAGGACGTTACATTATAGTTTCAGGGACCCTGTTCTCCCATAAGATACACCTAGTCAATGTGTATGCCCCCAATCATCCGGATCCAGTGTTTTGGTATACGCTTACAGACAAAATTCAGGCTTTGCCAACAGGCATTTTTTTAGTAGGGGGGGACTTTAATGCGGCACCGAGTCCAGCAGTCGATAGAAGTGCTCGTGGGGGAATGCCCAGGTCACAAGGGAGAGGGGGCAGGATAAACTGCTACACGATTTCATGCGTCGATCTGGCTTGATTGATGTATGGAGAGCTCAGCATCCAGGCATGATCGACTACACCTATTATTCCGCCCCACATGGGACACCTTTGAGGGTAGACTTCTTCCTAACTAATGACAGTTGCCTCACACGTACTATAAAATCTGCCGTGGGTTCTATCACGTGGTCAGACCATGCTGACATCTCAGTCACCCTAGGCGGCCTATGCACAGCGACTCCCTGGACCTGGAGACTTAATACATCCCTACCATCCTAAAATTCAAGAACAGGTACATAAAGACTTAGTAGAATTTTTTACCATCAATACTACCCCTGACATAAACGTAAGCACACTCTGGGCAGCACACAAGATGGTAGTGAGGGGAACTTTTATACGCTTAGCAACGATTTGGAAAAAACAAAAGGCGGAAACTTTGAGAAGGCTGCTCACGGACCTTAAGACGGGTGAACAAAGACATCAGTCAAACCCTGACAGGGATACGCTGCGACAGGAAGAAAATAGGAGACTAGAGATAAGAGAACTGTTATTAGATGAGGCGGCACAGCCCGTGACGTGGTCCAAAAGGGCCCTTTTATGAAAAGGCAAACAAAATGGATACCCTACTGGCTAGGACCCTGCGGCCTAGACAGGGACGTACTCATATTACCTCAATTAGGCATCCCAACGGCTCATTGAAAAGCACACCAAAGAAAATCGAGGGAGTCTTTAGGGACTTCTGCAAAACGCTATATAATCATACGCCGAACCATGGTGGGGGGGAGGAACAAGAGACGGAGCGTATCCTCCAATTCTTGTCAAAGCTGGATTTGCCAAAACTCTTACAAGTGGCCAAAGACCAATTAGCGTCGGAAATCACGGAGGAGGACGTAGAAAGGGCTATTACAGGTGTCAAAGGTAACAAAGCACCTGGGCCGGACGGTTTTGATGGGTCTTACTATAAGACCTTTAGGGAGGACTTAGTTCCCCACCTGCTCAAACTTTTTAATAGCTTCAGAGAGGGCGGCACGCCAGACCAGGATATGGCACTGGCGTCCATAGTATTGTTGCCTAAACCGGACAAAGACCCATTACTCCCAGGTAGCTACAGGCCCATTTCCCTTATAAATCATTATATGAAGCTGTTCGCTAAAATACAGACGGACCGTCTCTCTCCACATTTGACATCTTTGATAGATGCAGACCAAGTTGGCTTCATACCAGGGAGGCAATTATTTGAAAACACCCGTAGAACCATATACCTCATATGGAAACAATCAATTACGAGTACGCCTACTTTAGCCATTTTGATCGACGCCGAAAAGGCTTTTGACAGAGTTAAGTGGCATTATATGTTCACATTACTACAACACCTAGGATTCCCAGCGGAATACACCACGGCGGTACGGGCTATGTATAGCAACCTTAGAGCTCAAGTTTGGATTTCGGGTGCAATACCTTCCCCATTTCAGCTTTTCAACGGCACAAGACAGGGTTGCCCTCTTTCCCCATTGTTGTTTGTTATCTCATTGGAACCCTTTTTACAGGAGCTTAGAACAAATCCAGATATACATGGAGTGAGGGTGGGAGATAGAGAATTTAAAGTAGCGACATATGCCGATGATGTCTTACTGACTATTACGAGACCAGAGATCTTTATGGGGGCCCTAAGCGAAGTTATAACAGCGTATGGGGAAATATCAGGCTTCAAGGCGAACATGACAAAATCTAGTGTACTGCCCATAGGGATGCAAGTAAGGGAGACTAATCGCATACACACCAAGTATCGTATCAAGATTGAAACGCACTCCCTCAAATACCTGGGGATTCACTTGACTGCTGATCCTGGGGATTTATATGCCCGAAACTATACCCCCTTATGGCGTACTTTAATACAAGATATGGAACGAAAAAACGATGATCTGGATAGGAAGGATCCACTCGGTGAAGATGAATATGAAAATTCATATGAAATATGAAAATAAAAGACACCGCATAGCTAGGCATATTCTATACAGACCTAAACCGGGAGGAGGTCTGGGCCTCCCTAATTTATTCCTACGTGGGAGCACAGCTGACACAGATTGCTTTGTGGCACTCACCTCCCAATGAGCGGAAATGGGTGGAGATAGAATCACTAATGATGGGCGTGGATCTCCCCCAGTTCGCGATGTGGGTCCCCAGGGAACACAGGCCTCTGATTAGGGTTACATGCCTGACAATTTTGAACTCCCTCAGACTATGGGACTCCTATGGACCAGGGTCCGGAGATAATCACCTTTGATGATCTTAAACAAGGAAGACCTCTAACACCTAACGATTTTTTTTAGATATTTACAAATTAAAGACTTTGCTAGACAGCCACATATAAAATCCTTAGCACATAAGACACTGACCTTCTTCGAATCAATATGTAACTCGGAGACTATCCCCAGGGGTCTCATAACCCAACTGTACGCACATCTATGGACTGAAACTAAGGAATGAGGGGACTAGCATACATCGCACTATAGGTGAGGGATCTTGGTGAGGAACTTGAGGGAATAGAATGGCAGGAGATCTGGGAGGCCAGCAGAAACACCTCTGTATGCGTGACATTACAGGAACAATCCTTTAAATTGATGTTGCGATGGTATACAACCCCAGTTATGCTATTTAAAATGCGCAAAACCACTACAGACGAATGCTGGAGGGGATGTGGAGAAAAGGGGACATACCTACACATGAGGTGGGAGTGTCCTAAGATTGCCAGATTTTGGAAGGCCATAAGGGACCTTCTAACACAAGTGTTTTCCAGAGCTCCAGATATGGACCCTTGGGTATATCTATTGAATAGATCTATTGATGGCTGGACTAGAAGGGAGCAAAGACTAATTCATAAATTTACTCTAGCTGCAAGAAGAGCTATAGCACACACATGGCTACAATCAGATATGCCACACATAGCGAGCGTCATAACGAGAATTAGGGAAGTACGCTTAATGGATGATCTGACTGCTAGGGTTAGGGGGACCACGGAGTCGTTCCAGAAACTTAAGGAGCCGTGGGATGATAGCCCACTGAGCACTTAGGTGCCGGAGGGGTCTTCATGAATTTGCCTCGGTCCCCCTCCTCCCTCGGCCCCCCTCCTTCTTCCTGCCCTCTGGTGCCCCGCCGTGTGTTTATACACCCCAATTTTTCTTATCTTCCCTTTCACTTTTTATCTTTCCTGATCTTTTTTTATCCTTCTTCTTTTTCTCTCTTTTTCCTTCTCTCACCTTGTATTTCATGTCTTACTCTTTGAAACGTCCTTCTTTTTCTTTACTTTCTTATGTTTTAGTATATCACTACCGGTACTTCTGACCAAAACGCTTCTGAACCCACTTCAACGAGCTATTGGTAACTTTGTGTGGCAAAATAAAAGACACCGCATAGCTAGGCATATTCTATACAGACCAGTGGCGTACATACCAGGGTCGCAGGGGTCGCGGCTGCGACCGGGCCCGGCCCACCAGGGGGCCCGGCCGCCCCTGCGACCCGGTATGTAGCCACAGGGCCAGCGTCTTCTCCTGGGGGGCCCAGGAGGTGGCCACCTCAGGGCCCCCCGAGGCTGGCCGTGCTGACCCCGGCGGGCGGGCGGGCTGGCTGGCTGGGTGGGTGGGTGGCCGGCGCGCGAGGGAGCACTCAGTGCTTCCTCTTCAGCTCCCTTGCACACCGCCCTGATACCGGAGCCGGAAGATCTTCCGGCGCCGGCATCCCCACGCGGCGCGCGAGGGAGCTGAAGAGGAAGCACTGAGTGCTCCCTCGCGCGCCGGCCACCGAGACAGACAGACAGCCCGCCCAGCAGCACCACTGGACCCCAGGGAATCCCCCCAGCACTCCAAAAGGTAAGGAGGCTGGGGGGATTAAATTTTTTTTTTTTTTTTTAAATATGTGTGTTTGTTAGTGTATGTAATATGTGTGTGTGTGTTAGTGTATGTATGTATGTATGTGTGTGTGTTAGTGTATGTATGTGTGTGTGTGTTAGTGTGTGTGTGTTAGTGTATGTATGTGAGTGATAGTGTTAGTGTATGTGTGTATGTTAGTGTGTGTGTGTTAGTGTGTGTGTGTGTTAGTGTGTGTGTTAGTGTATGTGTGTGTGTGTGTGTTAGTGTATGTATGTGAGTGATAGTGTTAGTGTATGTGTGTGTGTTAGTGTGTGTGTGTGTATGTATGTATGTGTGTGTGTGTTAGTGTGTGTGTGTGTGTGTTAGTGTATGTGTGTGTGTGTGTTTTAGTGTTTGTGTTAGTGTGTGTGTCAGTGAGTGTGTCTGTTATTGGGTGTGTGTCTGCTAGTGAGTGTGTTACTGTGTGTGTCTGTTACTGAGTGTATTTGATGTCTGTTAGTGAGTGTGTGTTTGTCAGTGAAAGTGTATGTTTTGTAAGTGAGTGTGTATGTATGTCTGTCGCTGAGTGTGTCTCTGTCAGTAAATGTGTGTGTCTGTTAGCTAGTGTGTATGCGTCTGTTCGTGAGAGTGTGTGTGTGTATGTCTTTAGCATTTACCTTTCTCCAGCGTCGGACTCCCTTGGCGCTGGGGATCCCTCCACCTCTCAGCTCCGAATGCAAGAGGCGCACGCGCATTTAAACCGCCCATAGGAAAGCATTACTCAATGCTTTCCTATGGACGTACAGTGTCTTCTCACTGTGATTTTCACAGTGAGAATCGTGGAAGCTCCTCTAGCAGCTGTCAATGAGACAGCCACCAGAGGCTGGATTAACCCTCAGTGAAACATAGCCGTTTCTCTGAAACGGCTATGTTTTCAGCTGCAGGGTTAAAACTAGAGGGACCTGGCACCCAGACCACTTCATTGAGCTGATGTGATCAGGGTGTCTGTAGTGGTCCTTTAAGTGTGTGTGCATACCGCGGTCGCGGGGTCGCAGCCCTGCAACCCCTGCGACCAGGTGCCCGCCGCCATGTGTTGCGGCCCCGACCCGCGCCGAGTAAGCGCGGGGGGGCCCACGGATCAATTTTCGGGGCCCCATGAATCATGTGTACGCCACTGATACAGACCTAAACCAAGAGGAGGTTTGGGCCTCCCTAATTTATTCTATTACTACGTGGCAGCACAGCTGACACAGATTTGTGGCTTTGTGGCACTCACCTCCCAATGAGCGGAAATGGGTGGAGATAGAAACACTAATGATGGGCGCGGATCTCCCCCAGTTCGCGATGTGGGTCCCCTGGGAACACAGGCCTCTGATTAGGGTTACATGCCTTCACAGGGCAAGTAGCAAGAGAACTACGGATACAGGGATCTTTATTTGTTTCCAACAGGAAGCACGATTTGTAATGTACACATGTGTCAGCTTATACCGACATTACTACTATAGCTAACTAAGTACCTGAGTTTCTGTTTGGACATATTACTTAAAAATGTACATATGAGGCCAGCCACGAAAAGTTTACTGTACAACATTATTTGTTATTATTATCGACCTGCATTAATGTATTGCACTGCAAATTTATAGAATATACCTGGTAAGCTGCAGAGGCTCATGGATATTGCTGGCCTTGCACTAGCTTACTGAGAATACAAGTTGGTTCTGGTATAAACATGATATCACATGATATCACCTATAATCAAAGCTGTTACTTTTGATGCCAATAGATGTGGTTTTCTTTTCCAACAAAAATGGGGAAGAAAAAGGATCTCTCTGCTGCTGAAAAGAGTGAAATAGTTCAATGCCTTGGACGAGGTATGAAAACATTAGATATTTCACGAAAACGTAAGGGTGATCATCGCACTATTAAGTGATTTGTTGCTGATTCAGAGCACAGACGGGTTTGTGCAGATAAAAGCACATTGAGGAAGATTTCTTCCAGATCCATGCATCGGATCAAGAGAGCAGCTGCTAAAATATCATTACATAGCAGCAAACAGATATTTGAAGCTGCTGGTGCCTCTGTAGTCCCACGGACATCAAGGTGTAGAGTCCTCCAGAGTCTTGCAACTGTGCATAAACCTTCTATTCGGCCACCACTAACCAATGCTCACAAGCAGAAATGGCTGCATTGAGCAGAAAAATACATGAAGACTAGTTTTCAAACAGTCCTGTTCACTAATGAGTGCCGTGCAACCCTGGATGGTCCAGATGAATGGAGTAGTGGATGGTTGGTGGGCGGCCACCCTGTTCCAAAAAGGCTGCGATGTCAGCAAGGCAGTGGTGGAGTCATGTTTTGGGCCGGAATCATGGGAAGAGAGCTGGTCGGTCCCCGAAGGTGTAAAGATGACCTCTGGAAAGTATGTGGAGTTTCTGACTGACCACTTTCTTCCCTGGTGTAGAAAGAAGAACTGTGCTTTCCGTAATAAAATCATCTTCATGCATGACAATGCACCATCTCATGCTGCAAAGAATACCTCTGCATCAATAGCTACTATGGGGATAAAAGGAGAGAAAGTCATGGTGTGGCCTCCATCCTCCCCTGACCTCAATCCTATTGAGAACCTTTGGAGCATCCTCAAGCAAAAGATCTATGAGGGTGGGAAGCAGTTTACATCCAAATAGCAGCTCTGGGGGGCTATTCTGACATCTTGCAAACCAATTCTAGCAGAAGCTGTCCAAAAACTCACAAGTTCAATGGATGCAAGACTTGTGAAGCTGCTATCAAATAAGGAGTCCTATGTTAAAATGTAACGTGACCTGTTAAAATGTTTAAAACGTTAAAATGTTTGATTGAAATAGCTTTTGATTTCAGTAAATATGCTGCAAATACATCAAATTACAATTTTCAGTTCTTTACAACGTATAAAGTGTTTTGAAACTTACTGTGCGTAATAATTTGGAACAGTGCATTGTAAGTTTTTTTATGTTTTAAAAAAATACTGTTATCATTAGGAGGTTTGTTCAATAAAATTTGAATTGTTGATAACATGAGAATTATGCTGACTGTTATTTACATCAATTATTTAGGTAAATTAGAAAAATATAATTTGCATAATAATTTGGAACAGGGTGTAGATTACTTATTCTCAGTCATCTTTTCCAGTCACTGTCCTATCTCATCGATGTGGCACCTTTCGTACCACACACAAATCACAACATAAATACTGGCATTTTTATAGCTTTTATTGGTTTCTAAGACCAAAAGAACTTTCTCCATGAACGTCCCTTCCCCAGACTACATCAAGATATCTCACCTCACAAAGATACATGACCACTACGTATTACCAATCAGCCATACCAAATCTAGCCAAATCCCCTATTAATCTACCAAAAACCAATGATGTCCAGTAATAATTCTAGATAACAACCTAACCTCTGTTCAAGGTTCTCCTGACCAGCTCCTATTAGCCTTACACAGCAATACTCTAACGACAAGTAAATTCAGGCTTTATCTCAAGATGTCACTGCCTGGTAAGATAAGGTCTTAATCCAGCTAATTACGCAGGTCACTCCTTCCACATCGGTGCCTTCAGGAAATATGCCGGTATATATTATTGGGACAGTGGAGGTCCTAAGCGTACTCCAGATACATACCTCAACCTGTTCTAAAATACACCAAGCCTTCCATAATATGAATATGTAATATATTGTAATATGCTTAATTTGTAGGTGGTATAATCCTGTATGGTATACTCATTTTTGCCCTTTTTTATTACAGTCCCACCGCATTGTCGGTTCCGGCACACCCCAACAACTTTTTCATATTACTTTATGTCTCTTATGCCTCCCCCACCGCCCCCCCAAAAAAAAAAATATATATATATACACAGTTGCAATCAAAATTATTCAACCCACACTGAAAATCAGGTTTATTGTCAACATTTAAAGAGTTTCTGCTGTTTGCAATGAACAAATCAAACATGAGTTACTGAAGTAGCTCAACACTTCCAGTGGTTTCCCTAAATTCAACTAAAAATGCAACTTATGACTTCCCCAGACCCAAATATGGAAAACAGTTGTGGTCTCAAGTCACATCATCATTCATTATTTCCAACAGGTGTGCTTGAGCTGGACCACTTGAAATACCTGAACTGGTTAGGGATCTGTTGAGTGTCACGTTTGACTGCATATGAGAAAGCCAAAAGAATGGTCCACAAAGTTAAAAGAAGAGATCATCACCCTTCACACACAAGGAACAGGATAAACAAGTTAACAAAGGCACTGAATGATCATAGAGACACAGTTGGAAGCATAGTTTGCAAGTTCAAAGTTAAAGGAACAGTGGTTACACTACCTGGATGGGGCAGAAAAAATAAGCTATCGATGGCTACAACCAGAACTCTGAGAAGGCATGTTGAAAAAAACCCTGGAGTGACTGCAAAAGACCTGCAGCAAGTCTTGGTGGCAACAGGCATTGAGGTTTCAGTGAGTACAGTAAGCCGCATACTAACCAAAGGCATACACCACCACTGACCAAAAGGCACACGACAAATTGGCTTCAAAATGCTCAGCATCATATAAATAAGCCACAGAAGTTTGGAGATTATGTTTTGTGGAGCAATGAAACAAAACTGAAGCGGTGTGTCTGGAGGAAGAAGAATGAAGCATACACTGAAAGTAGCGCTCTGCCGACTGTTAAGCATGGTGGTGGCTCGGTGATGCTCTGGGGCTGCTTTGCATCCTCTGGCAGTGGAAACCTGCAGCACGTGGAAGGCAAGAGGAAGTATAATTGAAGTATCTGAAAATCCTAGAAGAAAACATCATGCTGTCTGTGAGGAAGCTGAAGCTTGGACATCATTGAACCTTCCAATAATGATCACAAGCATACATCAAGTTTCACCAAGGCTTGATTGCAGAAGAAATCCTGGAAAATTCTACAGTGGCCATCAGTCACCTGACTTGAACCCCATAGAAAATCTCTGGTGGGATTTAAAGAAGGCGCTCGCAGCACGCAAGCCCTAGAATATTATGGAACTAGAGGCCATTGCTCATGACCAATGGGCTAAACCTCTTCAGGAACACTGCTTGAAGCTGGAGTCTGGCTATGCTTCTAATTTGCAAAAGGGCACTCAACTCCATACTAAAGATGCTCATTGTAAGTTGTATTTTTAGTTGAATTTGGGGAAACCACTTTAAGTATTTATTGTGTTGAGCTATTTCAATTGATTTTGTTTGCTTTGTTCATTGCAAATATCTGAAAGTCTGTACATTCTGAAAACAAGCCTTATTTTATATACATATATTGTATTGCTTGGTGCCTGCCTTTTCATTTATAGGTCCCTAAAGGCCTTTTAGCTACTGTCACTATTTTAAACCCTCCCCATTGCTGGGCAGTGGTTGTGAGGAGGGGTGCTATAGACAGGTCCTCCTTATCGTCATCGCATTGTCCATAGGATTATTATAATACAGTTTTGTGCCTGCACCCTGTCAGATTGGGACATAGAGATGATTTTCTCTTCCTTATGGTTGAATGGGTTTTTTGTTTGGGGAAGCTGGCTAGCAAGTACTGGTCAGGTGCCACCTGATTAATCTCATGCAACTGAGGTTTTTTTTTCTTATCTGCTTACTGCTTGCAGTACCTGTGGGCAAGCATTAAATTTTTTTTTTTAAATATAGGCCTCAATTTAATAAGCTTTCCAAATGATTCAATAATGTTAGGAAAAACTTTCCAAGTTATTTATCTACAGAGGTCACCATTAAAGAATTATTGAATGTTTGTAGATGAGTCATTTGGAAAGTTTTTCTAACCGTATTGAATCATTTGGAAAGCTTCAATACTGCTTCCTAAGAGCATTACCAGGATTTGTGTACACTAGCAGCAATATCAGACAAGAAATTACATGTGAACACGCCCAAACCAAAATATAAATCTATTGTGTTTTTTTTTTTTTTTACTTGTTGAGTCATGAAGTGGAAACACTGTCTAAAAGCAATGCAAATAAGAAAGAAATACATATGTAAATATGCCATGTAGGCTAAGTCTTGGAGAGGTACATGAATAAAATAAAATGTAAAAAATCCAGGTAGTTCATTTATATTGATTTGTAAAAGGCTGGCATTAAAGAAAAGAGGAACACTTCATATGGGCATTTAAAGAACTATAGAATATTCAATTGATATTAGAATGGTTTATCAATGAATATTGGGACATCACTAGGGGACTTTAAGCAGCATAACCATTTTTAATGTGATTAAGTGATTATAGTGCCCAGAGTGTTCCTTTGAGTTAGGGGTCTCAAAGTCAATTCATTTGCGGGCTACTTGCTTATTCGTAGGTTTTCATGGGTGATGCAGGTTCGTACTGCCAGATGCACTCCGACACACATTAATTCTTACTCCCTTGCACACAGATATATACACACAACTACGTATAACAAATGTGAGGAAGGCTGAACTTGATGGACACAAGTCTCTTTTCAGCTATGTAACTATGTATATCCATTCCAGAGTTTATTGATGGAGACTGCTTACCTGTTTTGAGAATGACTGCTTTGAGAATGACATCACTGACGTTCCAGAACTTTATTAAAGAATGCTAGAAATTTACTATTGAAGTTGGGCGAACACACAGCCTTTTCAACCATAGCAAATAAGGATGTGATTGTAGATCAAATGTGAACCAGGCCAATAACAAATGAGGCATAGAGAGGTATGCCTATGGCTTAAACATACGTCTCTAATGCAGTCCACAGCCATCCATCCCAAATTACATTATTTGGGGAGCCACAAATGATCACTAGACTGAATATCCTTCTGGTACTTAACAAAGGGAGAGTGGTAGAAGTTGGGTTGTAAGCTTTTTAGCACCAAAGTGACTGGACGTCCCTTTAAAACTATGTGAAGAAAGAAATCCATTGTGTTGTACAAGACGAGTTAAAGGGACACTGTAGTCACTATAAGCATTTCATCTCTTTGAATTGGTTATAGAGCCTGGAGTGCCCTGGCACTGTCCCTCCATTCAGTGTTGCACCATGTTCGTGCAGTATGCCACAAAATAAGAGTCCCTGGCCACCCACAGTCCGGCCCCTTCAGTATGTGTAGCTAAGGCAGAGATTACACACTTCCTTGTTGTCATACTCATTCATACCGTCAGTTGGAACTCTGACAGGCTAAAAGCAGTCAGCTGACACTCTCAGCCAATCACAGCTGCCTATTGCTGCTCAGGCTAATACTTCCTTATTAGCCAAAGCAGCACAGAGGGGATGGATTGCCGGGGACTCTTGTTTAGCATTAAAACACTAAAAGTTTAAAAACTGTTTAATGCTGAAAGAAATGAGGGTACCAGAGGACTCCACACACTATAACCAGTTTAATGAGACGAAGCAGATACAGTGCCTACGGTGTCCCTTTAAGCTGCTTTCTAACACACTTTATCAAAGGACTAGGGTCTATGAACTAGAATCTCTCAGGGTTTATCCATTAAAAGGTAGTACCATCCCTCTATAAAACCTGCTAACCTCAAACACAGCATATTAGCCCAGATTGCATGGGATGGCAAAAGCTGCTGGAAGTGTCTGTAATCACTCCAACTCGTGATTACTAACCAATATCCAAACACACAAGAGTTAGAGGGTCCGTGTACAGGGTCCACTCTATTTAGTGGTGGGTACATTGGGGCCTTGCTGTTGTTTGTTTATTTTTTTATCTCCTCTTTGTACTTTTTAACCCTAAGCATAGTACAGGTGATATGTCAACTATTTTGTTATCTTGCTTGTTCTATAAGCTTTGTTTTAGATGTTACTCTTAATCTTCCTTGATATTGTTGCTTTTAAGTCATGTAGTAATATTTCTCTTCTTTTTACACATTCTCTATTTTTCAGGGCACTGTGCTTTGTGATATAATTTTACTGAATTTCCTGAAAGGGGCTGATCAATATAAAGCCAAGAAGTTTGAAGAGGTAAAGCTGCTGGGGAAAATTTCAAATTTATTTTGTGGTCATTTGTGGGATTCTTGTATTCTTTGCAATAAACGTCCCCCCCCCCACCTCTCTCCCCAATATGACATGCTCCCATCACTGGTGTGTTCTTGCATATGTGAGATAGTACAAAATGTAATTCAATAAACGATATTGTGAAACCCCCAACAGATGGTCTCATATGTACAATCTCAGTCTGAACTTTGCCACCTTATGGCTACATAAATCAAAATAAACCCTACTTTATCTTTTATATTCTGATTTCATAGGAATTTCAGTCTTTTTGAATAGTTCAGCCTTTCTTTTTATCAAGACTCTATATTTAGGAAAACTCAAAATTGATATTGTTAGAGAGCAGAAGAGCTGCTTTGAGAATGACAGTGGGCCAAATGCAGATGTTTGTGAGGTCATGGGAGTTTAATACGGATGCTGGGGAAGTTAGAGAATGGCATGGTACTGGTGGGAAAATGGAAAAAAAAGCAAGATTGCTTGGAACATATGATAAATATGTGACAGCCAATCAAGTTGCAGTGTTTTGAGGGTTGTAGTGAATTGTGGTAGTCAAGAGGTGGCAGTGGAAATGAGGCCGAAGCACTAAGAATCCTAATCTGATTTCAAAATAACTGGAAAAAAGCTAATGAAGGGACAAGGAAAGTAAAGAAGCTTTCAAATGCACTTCCAAAATAAAACAAAAACAAAAGTAAAGGTAAAAGGAGACTTCTTTTGAAATGTGAGAGAAAATAATATTGTGTAAATATATAGAGCATGTTAGGTAGATGTGATGATCATTGGCAGTCAAATATAAACCAAAGAAATAATGGTGAAAATTATTATTCTGAATGTATTTATTTATATGTACCAGTACATGCAGAATGCTTTGGAATAGACAGACTAAACAGAACACAGCTCACTGCAACATGTCTACAGAAAGCATGTATAACAGTGATATAGATGTGAATAACACTCTTACAAGTATTTAGTAATATTTTCACTCTCTATCCATGTATTATTTATCTTTTTTATCTTTCAGGTCTCTGATGAAACCCCCACTTTGGGAAGTCAAATGTATAAAAGTGACCAAACGCTGGCAGGACGTGCCGATGAAAAACGGTCTACAGACTCTGGGGCCTTCTCAATAGGCCTGTAATCTCTGTATAGTCTTCTTCACTCTTTCAGGGTTATGACTGTGATGCTTTATGTGATCCTTCAACGTTCTCTTAAGTGCTTTGTAAATATGTTTTTATTTATTTTCTTTTTTAGTTTAGGGGTGTGACATATATAAAGAACTAATAGTGTGCTTTACACTAAGTACAAAAAAAAAAAGGTTTTGTTTAGAAAAAAAATACTTTTTGCTTCCTGGCTTCTGGTTTCCTTTCTGCAATTAGTCCTACAGACTCCACAGCTGATCCATGGTGGTTTTACACAGACTTAGGATAATTAGTGGTAGAAAAATTCTGTTTGACATCAGGTTCCATTTTACTTCTGTAATGAGTTACGATAATGTTATGATATAGCATGTAGATATAGCATAACGATTCAGCATGGAAAATGCCTTGTGAATAATACAAAGAGATAAGCAGATAAGCAGAGGGGGCACAATATGAATAGAACAATAAAAATATAACTGTAATATTGGTTGAATTATTAATTCGTATTCTTAAAGCTAAAATAATTTTGCATATAATCAATGTTACAATGTTTCCCACATGGAACTGAAGAGACAACAGGTTGCAGGAGAAGTGTTATAGTAGAGGTGTGGATTATGAACAAGAGGTTGTATTATGACCCAAATTGTGATCCTACAAATTGTGTATGTGCTTAAATTGTGTATGTGCCTACAAATTGTGTATGTGCTTAAAACATACAATATAACCTGTTACATATATATATATATATATATATATATATATATATTTAATAATTATTTAAAAAGATGAGAGTTCCCCTTGAATTGATTCCTAAATTATTTTAACATTTTCCATTTACCTATCTAGGCACCCACCTCTTCTATACTACAACTTTTGTGATATTGAATTCTGGCTACCCCCCTTCACTAGCTCTTTTCTTCGTAGCATCACCTTTCAGAACAACTGTAAATACAAATTAAAAAATTTAAAAAATAAAGTATATATGTATACATTGCCACCTTCTATTTTAGTTGAAACCATTGTGTCCTCTTGTCTGTTACAAACGCCCAATGATTTTTATTTCAACACCATTATGTCTTTAGGACTGTTCGCAATAAAATGAGGGTAAATATAGGGTTTATCAAATATGATGTAATATATATGGTGATTTTGTCCCCTAGGAAAATAATGCATAATCTAGATTGGTGTCTTTTTTGCACAAACAAAACAGCAGATACTGAAAACTATAGATAAATGTATATCCATTTCCTGAAATTTAGAAATTGTGTAAATTGATATTCTGAGAATGTTCTAGCTTATTATGAACTACTATCATTACCTCTGTAGTACATATTTTTATTAAAGTATACTTGTTCCGAACATATACTGAATCTGAAATTGGCATTTTTTTTAATCTACTGGTAGTATCAACAAGTGTCACAAAATAGAAACAGGGGTGATTAAAACAGGAAAAATTAAAGTTGCAAAAAAAATAAATAAATTGAAAAAAAACAAGAATAAAACAAGATTAAATTGTTAAACAAAAAAAGTAAAAAATTAAGAAAATGTGTGATGTATTTAAATCAAAGAGACACTCCACTTCAGAACCAAAATAATAAAAATCACTGCTTAGCCCCACAGCACCTACTTTGCAAAGACTTTTCATTGAGCTGCACTGGGAAAAGGCAAGAAAACTGCAGATTTTGCAAGCTATTTTTAGGTATACCCTCAATGAAAACATGCATGATTAATGTTTTCATTTGTGGTATATTTGTTTTTATTGGGGGTATACCTAAAAATAGCTTGCAAAATCTGCAGTTTTCTTGTCTTTTCCCAGTGCAGCTCAATGAGAAGTCTTTGCAAGGTAGGTGATATGGGCAATTGCCTGCCTCGTAGGTTTATCTAAACTGAGCTATACATACTAGGAAGTATAAGGACTGGTTGTCTCCTTAAAAACTAGGGGTGTAACCAGTTTCATTTATAAAACCAATTTCTATTCAAATCTCTACCAGTTGTAGAATGAAAAAAAAAGAGGACACACCCTTCACATATTAAGCATTTCAGCAACTAAAGTGCTTTAGGGGTCAGTAGTGTCCCTTTAAACCTTTAAGAACAATGACAATTTACCATAATTTGTTCTGTAACTTTGTACACTAAAATTGAAAGATTTTGCTTTTAGTGTACTCATACAAATCATACCATGTTTTTGAAGGAAAAAAAAATAACTTTTTATTTTTAGTGGTGCAATGATACAACATGAATACGTTTACTTAGATCAATTTTCAAAACAAGAGTATAGCAATATTGCACATTTTTTTTAAAGTAATAAAGACATGAGAAACAAAGCTCTATCATGTCAGCTTAATTATGAGCGGGAGAGATTTTTGGATAGAACTGTAGATTATTTCAAGATGTTGGGACCACTGGATATGTGGAGAGGTTGGTATCAAAGATTACTGCAGATAGTAAATATAGGCACAGCAACAGAGCATATAAAAGAACTAAAGAAGTACAATAAAGAAGGAACTATGAAAAAAGAATGGAGGGCACATCAAACTTCATGCACTATGGGTTCTGCAATAAAGCAGGTTTCAAGTGGAGTTCATGGGTCGCTCAGCCAATGCCTGTAGAGGGATAATTCCATTTTCCACTGCTGACGGCCACTCCGATGGGGACCTTCCCACGATCCCAGGCCTCCAGGATGTTAGGCCCAATCTTTTCCAGGCTCACATTCCAGCCCTCTGTCAGAGCTCTGAGTCGCACCTGGTAACAGATGTCAAAAATCCCCCGATCCGGTATGCTGTAGTGTGGGTACTGAGGCTTAGTAATCTATCGTCGAGGTAAGTAGAAGCGGGTCTTAAAGGGAGCCCTCTGTGCTCTTTGTGTAGTCCTCCCTTTTTGCTTTGTGTGGGGCCAGGCCATGAGGCATTCCGACTTTCAAAAGACCTTCCGAGGAATCAGGTACCGATGTGACTTCTCCCCTGATTGGGCTCTCGGCCTAGTGCTGGATAGGTGTTCTGCAGCTACATGCTCATTCTCCGCTTCAGCAGGCAGGACATGGTGGGGAGATCTAAGCTGTATGCTTCTCCAGAAAGCCCGAAAGATTTGGTCAAACCGAGCTTCAAAACTCACTCTCCACTGCTGAATCCTTGAGTTCCCCTGGAGCTGTGGGGATTTTGACACGGCAGCCATCTTAGGCACATCATGAGGTCCACTGCTCGGCGGGGGAATCCCCTGCTGCAGGTAAGTAGTTTCCCCAGTTAGGACCGGGATGACCTCCACCAGATTTTACTTGTCATTACGAAGCTCATCCTCCTACGTGATCAAGCAGTGGCCCTCAGTTATAACTGCTCATTAAAAGTTAATCACAATAAAGTTAGAAGATGAATATATTAACTTTTCAGGGATTACAGGGCTCCTGTCATACCCAGTGGGAACTCCCACAGGAGGTCCCTCTGCTCTACTCCCATAGCAACAGCAACACATGTGCTGTGGTTGCTATTGAACCTCAATAGCTGGCGCTTCAAGCTAGGAAGTATAGAAATGGAGTGACATGACGTCACTTCATTTCAATGCTGGCAATTAAGCTAGCATGCCGATCTAACTAATGAGATTTGCCCTGCTTGGGGATGCGTCCCAAGTAGAGAAAATCAGGGAAGAGGAGGAGTGGACACGAAGAGTAACACTCTTGAAGCATGAAGATGGAGGTGCTGCAAAGGAAAAGTGAGTAAGTCATTATATTTTAAATTGAATACACTATGTATCTTTGTGATATATGTTGTATTCAATGTATATGGAAGCAATTTCACGTTCACTTTAAAACTAATATTTTTTAAGTGCTGCTTCAGATCTAAAGAGGGGAACTCACTTGTGATCTCTTCTCATGTACACATTTTGCAGTCTGTCTGGGGGAGTATGCAGACATTTTAAAACTTTAGACATTTCAATATAAAATTTGCCAAAAATGTATCTCTGGTCAAAAATTTACTAACTATATCGATCCCATTTTTATGTGTCATTATAGTGTATAAAGATGTTACGTCAAGAGTTGGCCATCCAAAATCAGTTTTCCGCTCAATATTTTACAACTGCCTTACAATGTCTCCTGTATCTTTTATATAGGAATACGCATCTTCGACATATTTCTGTAGAAAGTGGACAAATTTGATGTTAAATATCTTATCCCACTAATTATGTGTCTACCTGGGGCTGTTTGCTGGTTCTTAGGAATTTGGGGTGAAAAGTAAAAACGGGTAATACTGGGTTGTTATGAAATAGAAACTTTCTATTGCTTTCTGAATTCACATTATTCTCCTTTGCCTTTTTCCAAAAATTCCAGGATCCTACAGTCTTCTTTAAAAGATTATTAATTTGTCATTAGTACTATCTGCCTCCTTAATTACAACATTTTTTTGGGGTAACATTTTGATTTTGGTTTTCAGTAGGTGAGAGGGTTGATGTGTTTGTTTATATTCCCCCAGATTTAAGTCAGGGATTTTTAAATAATGTCATTTGATAGTTAGCTTTCTAATATATTTTTGTAGGTCAATGAAAAAAAAATCAAATTTATTTATATTCTGGGTAAATTTCAATAATTTGCTTAAATGCTCTAATTCTTCATCTGTAAAATTGAAGATACCCTTTACCCTTTCTTCCTCTATGTTAATCTCTGCATTTACCTGTCACAGCACTCTGATTGGTTAGCTTGAAATCCAGCCAAAGTGCTCTGTGTCATTTTACAGTGTGGAAAGTTCTTTGGAATTTTCCCACGCTGTGTAATTTGACTCATAACTCTCTGATTGGTTACTTTCAATCAACCAATCAGAGTGTTATTATGAGTCAAATTACACAGCGTGGGAAAATTCCAAAGAACTTTGCAACGCTGTGTAAAATGACACAGAGCACTTTGATTGGCTGGATTTGTGTGTGTGTGTGCAGAGTCTGTGTGTGTGTGTATGGACTCAGCAAAGTCTGTGTGTGTATGGACTCAGCAGAGTCTGTGTGTGTATGGACTCAGCAGTCTGTGTGTGTGTATGGACTCAGCAGTCTGTGTGTGTGTGTGTGTGTGTGTGTGTGTATGGACTCAGCAGTCTGTGTGTGTGTGTGTGTGTGTGTATGGACTCAGCAGAGTCTGTGTGTGTGTGTGTGTGGACTCAGCAGAGTCTGTGTGTGTGTGTATGGACTGATCAGAATCTGTGTGTGTGTGTATGGACTCAGCAGTCTGTGTGTGTGTGTATGGACTCAGCAGTCTGTGTATGTGTGTATGGACTCAGCAGTGTGTGTGTGTGTGTGTATACTGAGCAACTGTGTGTGTGTATGAGCAATCTGTGTGTGTGTGTGTGTGTGTGTGTGTATGGACTCAGCAGTCTGTGTGTGTGTATGGACTCATCAGTCTGTGTGTGTGTATGGACTCAGCAGTCTATCAATAATTAAAATTCCTGTGAGTTGTTGTGTAGGAAGGGCCCCAGTGCATTGCTTTGCCCAGGGGCCCTTAACTCTGTTAAAATGGTACTGCTTGTGTGTGTCAGTGAGCTTCTATTTAGTGAGCATGTGTGTGTCAGTGAGCTTGTCTTTAGTGAGCTTGTGTGTGTGTCCCTGAACTTCTTTGTAGTGAGCCTTCTGTTTATACAAGTGAGTGTCTGTAGTAAGCTTGTGTGTGAGTCAGAGAGTTTTGTCTGTCAGTAAGCTTGTGTGCTTACTGTACTATATATATATATTTTATTTTTTTTTACTTGTAGGAATGGCATACGTTTTTTTTTCCAGGGCTGCTTTGGATTCCCAGGGATTCCCAGTTTGGCTCTGCCAGCGAGTGCACTTTACCGCTGAATAATCTGTGTGAGCTGCCGCACACTTTAGTCCTGTTACACGCGTCTGGGAGCTGCTGTTGACAGGTACTAGTAGTCTAGAGATTGGGGTTTATGCTCAGCTATCTGTATAATACAGATCTGTGTGTATAAAATATCCTGGGATAGTCGGTGCTTCCTGTATAGTGCTGCTTTCTGTCTTGGGATATTATCAGGCCCGGACTGGCCATCGGGCACATCGGGCAAATGCCCGCTGGGCCGTGGTGGCCATGGGCCTAGGCCGGCAGGGGAGGTCCCAGGATCTCCCCTGCTGGTCTATGCAGGGCCGGCACTATCCAAGCGCCGGCCCCGCTGTTTGCCATGGAGGGCCGGTGGGGAGATCAAAGATCTCCCTCACCGGCCCATTTAAACAAACCTGCGGCTGGGGAGGGAGGGAGAGGACCCGGCGGAGCTCTATCTTGTAGCTCCGCCCGGTTCCTCTCGCGAGATCCGGCGCGTTGCCATGGCAACTCCCCGATCTCGCGAGAGTGAACTCTAGCCCTCAGGCTAGAGTTCACTCACCACTGGACCACCAGGGATGATGTCACCGTGCCGGTCCCCCATCCCAGCTACCATGTGCCTGTCCCCCCTCCCAGGCTAAAGGTAAGAGGGAGGGGGGTATTTAATACCTACTTAGTTTTTTATTTTTTTTATTTCTTTATTTACCCCCCCATAGTTTTTTTATTTGTTTATTTACCCCCCCCCCACACACACACATTTATACACAGCACTCTCACACATCACACTCTGCACTCTCACACACATCATACACAGCACTCTCCCACACAGCACTCTCACACACATCATACACAGCACTCTCCCACACAGCACTCTCACACACATCATACACAGCACTCTCACACTCAGCACTCACACTCATCACACTCTGCACTCTCACACACACACATCACACTCTGCACTCTCACACACACATCACACTCTGCACTCTCACACACATCACTCACACACATCACACACCGCACTCTCACACACATCAT